TGGGGTATTTATCATGCCTAGTGACACAAATGACACTTAAGTGCAATTTATTACTAAATGTTTAAGACCAGATGGTGTCATAAAACATTGTAAATCTAAATATGTTATGTTTTCCTGGAAATACTTTAATAACCAATGCATCATTGTACTTACAGACTTTAATTTCTTACTAATACATATTGTCACAGTAACACAACTTTCTCACTAGTTGTATTACGTGTGTATGAATGACTTTGGTTTGATCAGCACTATATTAACATGCCAGACTAAGATCCTGTATGCCAAGAGCTGTTTTAAGATAATCATCTATATAGTGACACCCTATGGGCAAATAGTGCAACTGCAGTCACTCAGTGACAAAACTGATCACAGACAGAATGTGCTATCAGCCTGTTAACTATTAACCTATTAACTCCTCACTTATACACTGTTTTGATCTGTTATACTTTTGTCTGCACTTCAAACCTGTTACTGATATTACCATATTGGGGTAACAAAAGGTTCTGCAGAGTTCTTTCAAATCTACTGAATAATAATAATAATAATAAATTCTAGTCAACTTTATCAGAACAAGCTGTTGGCCATTTACAAGTCTGGTTTTATTAACACATTGTGGTAGAAATCTTCTCTTAATGCGTGCACTCGCTACGCTAAGCTCAGCCTTGACAAGACTAAGCTGCATGTCCTCTAGGTTAAATCCTTTTGTCTGCATCATGACCATCTAAGGTATCAGAGAGGTTCAGCTGGGACACGGCCAAGCTTTTGCCAAGTGACATTTTCCTGGCAACACCTGGTAATGAAGCATACCTGTAGTTAAATACCTATAGCTGTTTTATTTAATCCAGACTAATGCTTCATTAGAATATGAAGGTTTTTATTTAATGATCCTCATACTTCATTTAACTTCATAAAGCTGCCTGTGGGTTCTCACATCAAACTGAAAAGACCACTGCGGCATGTTTTATGTTTTGATAGTTAACAGTTTAGAGACAGGAAAGGCAGAGAGAGAAAACACGACAGAGGGTTCACACGAGACAAAGGTCTCCAGTCAGGCAAATGTGCTGAATTCCAGTATTTTCCTTGTGTTGATTCTCTAACACGTTGTGGTTGTGAAATAAGGAACAATCATGTTGTTGGCCTTTCTGCTCTCACTGTATTACCTTTCTCTCACAGTGAGGGGAACCCTGCTGACTAGGAACACAAGGAGAGAACACAAACACCCATTTAAAAGTCTTTACATTGCCTGTCTTTATACAGTTTTCATGGGGATTTTAAAATGATTTTAATTGTTTTTAACGGCCCTTCATGTCCTCTGGCACGTATCTTTTTGGTGTTCCAAGAGCAGGGCCAAAACCTTTTGGTGGAGTTTTCAGTGTTTATGCTCCAAGCCGGAGGATCTGAGATAAGTGTTGATATCTATAAAGGCAAACTTAAAACCTATTTCTTTAGTTTGGCTTCTGATTAGAATGTAATGCTTTATGGCTATTATCAAATTTCTTAATTTTTTTATTATTAGTTTTATTGTATTCTTGTTTGAAATGCTTATTATATATATTGCCATTTAGCCATTTATTGTCATTTAGTTTTTCACTTTTGTGCATTTGTCTCACATTGATTTACTGCTTATATTTGTACTGCCTTATCATCAGCTTGTCATTCCCTTGTAAAGCACTTTGAATTGTACTGACCTGTATGAAAGATGCTATTCAAATAATAACTGATTGATGTTTTGTTTTAGTCCACGCCAGAACACAGTGGGTCTTTACTGGAGTTGTTGTTGTTGGCTCTGGAAAACATATCAGGGAACAAAATGTATCTGCGATATGTCATTAAAGATCCAGCTTAATGTTTAATAAATGTTGTCAAAATCAGACTTTACCTTGCTACAGTAGCCATAAACAAAAGGTTCAAGGGCACAAATCTTCAATTATTCATTATTAAGTCCACAAACCCACTGACATAGCTACAAAAATGCATTAGATAAGTCAGTTACCATTTGCAACTGGCCTACTACCCTATTCATTATCTTTTTTTTTTTTTTACTTTTCAAAAACTTTTAATGCCTAATTATTGAACAAAAAAAGTACATTATTTTGTTACTGAAAATGTAATATATACTCTTTCAGTATTTATCTTGGTGGTGTATGATTAAATTCCTTATAAAAAAAACAAAATGCCAGCAGCTGAAGTAACAGACAAGATTAATTTGAGATCAATGACAATTCGTTTCTCATTTTGTCTGTTGTAAATGTATCTCTTTTTACGTGTATCTTTGTTGAGGAAAAGCTGTTCCGTTTCTTTGGTTAAACGCTTGAATAGGGAGCTGGGCCGTGGCCTTGCTCATTACCAACTGGCACTGTTAGTATTTACAGCATCACGGCGGGTTGACCTCACAGTATTCACAGCTTCACACCTCACCCCCATTCACTGTTAGAAAATAAACACAGGCTGCATTGACCCCCATAAAGAACCGTTTCCTCTGAAAAGACACCAAAGGTTTTGTGGCTTAACTCAACTTTTTTGTTGGTTTGTTGGAACAATGTGGGATGCTGCACGAGGAATCAGAATCCAAACGCTAATTAGGAAATGAGGAACATCGCCTTTCCCATCATGAATGCTTTTTTGGGCATCTTTTTATTTCTGATCGGTCAACCATGCACAAGCATCCACCTGCTACCTCCAAATGATGGACGTTTCTTCTTTTTCAGATTCTTCCTAAAAGAATTTAAATGGGTTTTCAAAAATGTGCACTTTGTGTGCAACAACATGGCACGAACTGCCAGGCCACTGGGGGGCTGGATTGTTGTGTTTGGCGGCCTTGATGACCAAATTAAAATCTTACAGACAATTACACACCCTAAATAAGTCTAGTCAGTTTGGAATTGATACAGAACATGGAACAAAGGCATAATTATGCTTTCTGTCAAACATTTGAAAAAAATCTCAGAAGTAACTCATGTATGCTATGAATGAATTAAGTATCAGAAACCCTGTTTATAAAGAAACAAAAACATTTGGAGGTCTACATATAAAAAGATAATCTGAAAATAGTCTTATTCTATCTTAGCCTCAAACCAAACTCCTCTACAAACTCTAACCGGCTTTTTATCCAAACTATGCGGAGCAAAAATGAGGAGAACCTGAGTGAGAAGATACCTGTGTGACAAGCAGGTGATGGGGCTTTATTTAAAACAGTTGTTTAAGACACTCCACTCCACTGCTTGACGCTGACGTTAAAGCCACAGAAGAAAGCAAAGATTAGACTACCTTTGTGTGCCGAGCAGCATTAGACATATTAATCTTTTGCTGTTCATTTGACTGTGAAATCTTTGGAATCACTGTTTCTAAAGACCAATGAGCGAAGCTTGTCATTTAACCCGCCTCACGGAAAGTTTCCTGACGTTTTGAGTTCGGTGAAAGTCGCACCATTGTAGCACGGTGTTTTACAATCAACAATTTTTCAATTATTAAATAAGATACAGTTTTTAAATGTTTGCCTTTCAAAACATCCAAGTCAAGCAAACAACAATGGCCTCTTCATTCAAGCCTCTAAAGGGGATTTTCCTTTGAAGCACAGGCCAAGAGAAACAATTCTGTCAGCCCCACCAAAGGCCTACAAAGGCCCATATCTGAAAGAATAGAGTCCTGAGAAATAATAGAAAAGCAAATGTTGAGAAATGAGAGCTTAGAAAACTAGAACATTTTATAGAATCTGTAAGGATAGTATTAAATGCAGTTCCCAGGAGAGAACATGAAAACAAAAGGGCCAGCAGAGAGGGGTATCAGCTGAGGTCAAATTGTGTCAACCTGAGTTACGCTCAGATGAGCGCACTTAAGTTGACCTGTGTACCAAGTGTAAGCCTGCACCGGCCTGTTTAAAAAGCCCGCTTTCATTCCCATTTCTTGATGTCATTATATCTCCAGTGGGCCATGTGCCTTTAGTTGACAGCCTCCCGGTTTGACGACATTATTAAGCACTCCGAAACCGGCTGCGTTTGTGAAATGGCACATTTGTGATGTGGCAACAAATTAGGCCATTCATAAAGTCGGAACAATGACAACAATTCCAGTGTTCGGCCTCTAACTTTCAAAGGCCTGTTTCTATGAAAGAGCACAGGCATAAATAACTGTCATCTGCGTATAGGTAGAGTTAGAAATAGTTCACTTTATTTTTACAATTTGTTTATGCTCTAAATATTTAACTTTTTGTATAGATGTCTTATAATATTGTACTGAATTTCTGCAATAATGAAAATGGTTGTGCAACTCATGGTGTAGCTCGATATGATTAAATTAAATCAGCAATGTATTTTAAATTCATGTCTGTATTACAAGCACCATGGTACTAATAGTACACCCTCCGCAATGCAGCATAAATAATAGTGTTCAATTAAGTTAATTTTGGTGTTCAATCAAGATCCGCAATAATTGTCTGTCTAACTCCAGTCTGTCAGCTCAATCACATCAATACGGAGAACCACATCAGGTGCTGTTACTTATTGCTGCCTTTGCCCGCTAGCCTAGGATATTTGACAGGAGCTTCAGGGACAAAGATGAATAACTTGCTTATGTTATAAGACATTTTGATGGCATGTGTTAAAGTGAAGGTTATCATCTCACAGCCCAATTGCAAATGCACAAAAACAACACAAATTTAACAAATTTAACAGACACACATTTGACACACATTTAATGGTAGATTTAGTGTAGTGTATATAGAAACGCGAAGTTCCCACAGCTACAGTATTTTAAAATGAACACTTCATTTTTGTGACTCTACTTCTGTAGTGCAGCAGTGAATCATCTTTTACAGATGATATTGTATTTTTACTGTTGAATAGAGCTTGAATCAACCCGTTCACAGTATCCTACAGCCCACTGATCACTCATACACAAAGTTACGTCCAACTGCTGTGTGTGTACATGTGACTACTGTGTTTAATATGAATAAATACCATGTAATGCATTTTTATCAATCGGTGTTGGTAACAATGGCTAACCTGGCAAAGTTGTAAACAACAGCTGGCTGTGCGAGGTATTCCAACTTGTTAACTGGAACGCTGTCAACTCAGGTGTGACATCATTCCCAGCTCCGACCTCCGATTTCTGAGGTAAATGGAACGCACCAAACCTTTAAAAAAAAAATACATACACCTAATTCAATAATCATTAGTTTTCTGCCACAGTGTGTTTTCCACTACGTTATCCCACATTATCAAAACAACAATTAATTAGTCAAGGAACAACTTGCATAAAAATGGTAATTAGTTGGTTTTACAAGCAGGAAATGTGGATCCGTCAGCACTTGAAAATGATAACCAAATACCTCCCACTTCCTCTGTCACCAGCATTTAGGCATCGCCCACAATGGGACTGCATGCTACTGTAAAGATAAGGATGTGATCAAAGATGTAATACTAGACATATAGTCCCATCATGCTGTTTTAAAATGTCTATCTATGTACCTATGTAGACACAGCAAAGGACGCTGGGAAGGTCCAATGTCCTGTATGTATTTCACACACAGATGTATTGACATTGTCATTATGGTAAAGTGATTTTGGTGGCACTGTAACCCAGTCAAACAGTAACTGTCACAACACGTAAAACAGACCATGTTAAGAGCCTGTGTTGAGTGGCAGGTAATGTTCATGTCCCTTCAATGAGATGTGCAGACATTTGATTCCATGTGCAACTTTCATGGAAACAGCTGTGATATACCTGTTCAGTGCAGGAGATGTAACGTATCGTGGTTTACATATTGACCGAGACCTCTTGCCAGGCACTTCAGGCCTATATAAATATAGGCCACAGAATAGCTGCAGTGGATTTCTAGTTATATCTCCAGCAGCAGAGGTTTACATTAATTGACAGATTATTCTACATGTCAAAGACTCAAGAAAGAGGACAGTAGTCCTCTGATAATTCAGTGTTAGGGTGTGACTCTTAAATTTGTTTACTGTGAGTTCTTTAAGAAGAGTAAAAACATTATTAAAAAATCATCAAACCTAAGTCTAAAAAAAATAAGTCTTAGACTTATTCTAAAGAGCATAAATAAAATGATATGGATGTCTTATAAAAGTAAAAAGAAGGGCTGCATTTACGCTAACTAATATTATACATGTTTCTGAAATATAACAGAACATTAAAGTAAAATCAACAACTATTCCAAGTGAATTTAAAAAAGGACATATTTCCACTTGATAATGATGCCCAATTCATTTAGTTAGATATCCACCTTGTGGTAAGAAAGTAGTACTACACCTTTTACTGTTTGTATGAGGCGGCATGTGTCAGTATATTACAAACCAAAATCTTTGTTAGAGAAGTAGCATCAAATGCTAATGAAGCAGATACATTCTGGTTTTCCACGCTGTTATTTGGTTAATAAATGTTCAAATGTTGTGATTGTCTTTGGCAGCAAAAAAGCCGCTGCATGTTCCCTTTTGTGGGAAAAGCATTCAGTTTGTTAATAGACCTTTGACCTTGGCTCTGTGGCTCAGGAAACCCAGGAAAACGGGGTGGCTGCTCTACAATCCTTAACATTTTGATCAGACGAAAGCAGAGTCTTGTTTATTTTATGATCATGTGAAAACAGATTTACTTTTTACCTGCCTAAACTACTCTGGATTGGGCATGAAATAAAGTTGGCTACTCATTCTCTCTTTATGTCTATATTAGAATTGAAACTCTCTGAGGCCTCACGTGCCTCCTGAAATCTGCAGTGACGGTGGTGGATGTATTTTTTTTTTTTAGGCTGCACTTTATGGCCTCGTCTACTTTGCGCCACCCAACACACACGATGAGATTCCTCGGCACACACAGTCACACAGGCTTTTAGACACTCATTAGCTCCTACTAATACAATAAGTGTCACCTTCCATTACATGGTGCTGGGCTGGATATCAGGATTGGAAACCCACCAAATCTCCACACAACGGGCGCTACCCCCTCATGCACAGTATTGTCTTTCAGCCACAATGTCGAATTGTTTTCTCTTTGCTTTATCATGCCTATAATCTAAATATGTCCACTAATATAGATGCATAAATTTAAAGTTTTCACTGACATATAAACAACCTTACAGACTATCTCAGAAGGTAAAAGTAAAGTAATGTAATTATCGTGTGGCTCTTCATGTTAACTTTGCTTTTTGTTTCAGAGCCGGCAGCTGTTTAAGGATCCACCACACCCCGCCCATTTCAAGCCCGTTGTCTCGCATATGAACAGCACATGCAGACTTGTAAAAAATCTTAATTAAGACTCCTAATTCTCCGTGCCGTCGCCTGACTGAGGCTGTGCGCTCACGTGAAGCCCTGCTGAACACAGCGTGAGGGTAGATAGGACAGGGACTGCTGTTTTCCCGGCTTTCACAGGGCAGGGTACGGCAAACATTCATCCATAATCCGTAAAAACAGGGTTTAAATTAGTTTGGCTAATATTTTATTGGCTGTACAAATTAACTGTTGTGCTGCTGTCATTATGTGCAACTAAGATCGATTGATAATGTGTAAAATTGTGTTGGTTTCTGCAAACTTTAAATTCAAAGAGTTATTTCTGAGCAGCTAAACAATTTTTTCCCCCAACATTATTATTATAGATTAGTTTCAAATGTGTCATTGGTGGTGCTGAATTTCTCCAAGCACTTGAGTCCAGTTGAGTCTAGGACACTGGTCAACAGATGAATCGTTCACATGCACATGTTAATGATTTTCCTCATTATACCGAGAGGCTACAGTATGCTGTACATCACCACACATACAAAAACATGAAGTGACAAGTGTTTGCCACTGTAAAGGTGATTTCAGCTCCTTCAGCTGGGTTTTGTATGTAGGCCTTTGGTTTTGAGGCTTCTCCCTCTGAGCGGTGGCAAAGGGCATGTGGTCCTCTGCGTGCAGCAGATGCCCCGAAGAACACTTGCGACAGATGAGGCGAAAATGAGCGTGACATGTGTTAAACAGGCGAAGCCCCAATACACTGACATTTGACAAGATGATGGGCGTAGGCAATCATTATTGTCTCCTCTTAAGCAAGCAGTAAATATTCAGGGCTGATGTCTGTGAATGCAAAAGCCAAAATACAAATCAGCCTGAACAGATTTTCATTATTGAGTGACGTGTTTGAATAGATTGTGATCAGACTGAAACACAGCGAGCTGGTAAAACGAGATCTAGTGTTTAAATGCACAAATACCCTACTGGATCCATATCAAAGATTTTAAGACAAATATTAATCTAATACAAAATGGTTTCAATAGTGACTTTATCATTTGATGAACTAAATCTATGAATTCTTTCCTCAGCCGCTTGTACTCTTGTCCACACCCTAACGGACCTTCGACCTTGGTCCTTCCTGCCTGACAAAGGTGCCAATGATGGTGAGTTAGGCATGGGGAGGAACATGCCAAGGAGATGCCCCCCTCCTCCCCTCCCTTTGCCCCCCCTCCCCCCCATCCAGAACCATTTGGACCACAGGGAATGGGTTAATCACATTAGAGGCCCAGAAGAGAGATGGGAAGTAGACAGTACCGTGACAGCCGGGGTAGCACTGGCACGACTAATCCCTTTAGGCCGAGGAAAAAGGGGGACGCCATCGCGCCTACAAGGCTGAGAAAGAAAAAAACATTTTCCCAGGAATGAGTTCACCTGTATGGTAACACAGAGAAGTCGGCCTGTTGATGCCTATTAGAAGAAACAATCGCACTTGGCACATACAAATGTTTTTTTCATGCTGGGCACCACTTTATTGTCAGCGCGTGAAAACAATCAGCAGCAGACAGTGGCATGAGATCCTCTTTCATGCCACAGTGAAGCAGCCCCTTTCAACCCAGTGCTATCAGTCTCCCAAACAGTGAGAAGATGGGGAGGGGTGCTGTAAGAAGGATAGAGCTTACTTCATCTGCCATTGTAAGTGCACCCGAGTTCAACCTTAATGTAAACCTTTGCAGGCAGGATATGAATAGGATGCTCTCTATAAAAATATATCCTGCTGGGTAATCCGGCAGATGGCCACAGCAGCGGACACTACAAGCGCGGCTGGCCGCTGCAGGGGTAACAGGGAACGTCCGATCAGCAGCCACTCTTCAGGCTGGGAGATGTGGAATCAAGATTCTTAGCTCCCCTTAGCAACGCTGGGAAACAGAGCCGTCAGTTTAGATCCATCAAGTTTCTACTTAATCTCACCCACCACTTTTTTCTCTCTATTTTTTCTTTTTTTTGTATCTTCCCCTTTTGTTGTGGGGATTAAGCCAAGTGGTAAAACAGTGATTTAATGATCTTTCCATGGCTATGTGCACCACTTAAACCCTGAGACAAACAAGCTGAGGCATTCTAAGAGTCACCCCCTCTAAAGGCGGCTGCTCAGGAACTGTGAGGCTTTTGATACGGCATTAAGCTCCGACTGATTATTTTTTCCCACTGTCGTGTGGTGTGCTGCGCTCTGCTATGGGAAAATTTAAGGTTTTGTGTTTTGTAAATGCCCATTGTAAAGATGAGAAGAAAACAGTTGGATAATTACTTGATGATAGCTTCATAATGATGAGGTATGGTGAATTTTAATGATTTGTTAATGCAGATGAGAAGCGGTACTGTTAAATTAATTATAATCATACAAAATAACTCCACGCCATATGTGTGGTTAATTCTTCCAATAGTTTAACTGTTATCAACAAATAACAAAAATATTTGTTTATAAGCCCCTAAAAAGCTAGTACGTGGACCTTCAGTTGGGTTGGAATTGTTCTGTCAAACTACTATCATACAAGTTCAAGCTCTAACTTTGAAGCTTTACTTTAAAGCTATCTAAAATGCTATTTATAAAATTACAATGGCTGAGCTTGAGTTTGCATGTCAACAGATCCATCTCCATAACACCTGAGCAAATTCCTGCTAATGAAAACCATTTGATATGGTATGAGTTGTTTTGTCATGTCCCCAAATACTAGTGAAGGAAAATAGTTTGTTTATGGTATTATATTATTGAGATAAAGTTTCACTTGTTTATGGATTATTCAGTTCTTTCGAAAGTTAATCTCTTACCTGGGATTTTCGGTTGTCTGAGAAGTGCCTCAGCTCAGGGGAATGGTAGGAGTGGACAGTTCACATACAGCTGATCAGCAGCAGGATCTGTTCGATGAAGAAATATATTATTCATTGAAACATATCTATCTTTGTGCAAGCCTCATAACACTGTTTCCTTCAACAACAATAAGTCAATGAAATACACACAGCCAGACAGAGCAACTCCCGTCAAACACATATTCATAGAAATATGAACCCTACTGCTCTGCAGTTTAAGACTGCTTCCAACTCTCTTAAATGATCTATTCAGAAAGTCTTAATATCATCTAAAAGGACAAGTATTTAAACCAACAGATTAACTACTTATAGTGCTACCAACAATAACCAACAGATGGCACCAAGTGAAAAATGAAGGTGGAGAGATTCAGCATCAGAGGACTCTTACTATCTTATTTCTTTTAACATTTTACCATTGTGAAAAATAAATCACTGTAAGTATGGCACCTAATGAGAAATGAATAGACTATACTATACTATACTATACCATAATAGACTATACTATAATACTACAGCCCTATGTAAGATTTGACTCAACTTCTCTTTTAAGTCAAGTTTAAATGGGTATTCAGCAATTTAGTATTTCACTTCAATAAAGTTGGCGGGCTCACAAAAGAGAGATAAAAAAAACTTTTAAAATCAAAGCAGAGGAGTAAGTAAGTAAGTAAAGTTTAGGCCTACTTAATATGGCATATATTAAGTAAATAAGTCATAATAAATAACATATAAAAGTCATATGCATAATAAGAGACAACAATAAAACAAAAGCAACAACAATGTAAAATGGTAATAAATAATAAATAATAATCAAGCAAGACATAAGCAACAACATCATCATAAAATGTCAATAAAACATGCAGGCAGTGACCGACCTTAAAACACATATGTTTGCATACTTTCGATGGCGTAAATTCAGGCCAGCCTAAATAAGAGTCTGTATTTTAAAGGTATCAACAGAGACTGCAGAACGTAAGTCTCAGAGAAGACCATTCCACAGTGTCAGAGCCACCACTTGAAATGCACGAGGCTGACATATCCTGAATTTTAGTCCTTAATGTGGGTGAAGCTCATGGTGAAGCTCCAACAATGCTCAAGCCTACATTTCCCATAATTCTCCCAACTTTCCTTAGTTTAGATGACATCATCAGGGTTGTTTTTTCAAACTTTGGAGAGCTCACTCCAGAGCCACAGAAGACTATTAAGCCTAACTCCTCGTGACAAATAGACTAAACTGCATGTGTAAAATTGGTTGAATGCCCCATTAATAAAATGCTGGTATGTGTGCCGCATTGCTACGGAGACCTAACTCTAAAGATGTTTTAACCCACTGAATGAAGCACCCGAATGGGACCCGAATGTGTCTCTTTTAAAGGTTGTTTAAAAAAAACAGAACAACAAGACTTTCTCTTAATACAGCGTGAAATAAGATTATTAGTATAACCTTGACCCTAAACATGAACACAAAACAGCTAAACATGAAAGAGGAAAACTGAATGATTTGGATTTATATGCTGGCGCTCATGACACAGCTCAGCATGTGTGTAAGCGTGGCACTCACTCTCACTGGGTAATAACTGGCAAGGCATTGGCAGTGATCAGAGTAGGACTAGAAAGCCATAATAGGAGGACAAATATCAGAGGAGAGGCAGTCTGGGTGTCTGAGTGTAATGGATGATGGAGGTGTTAGTGTTTGGGCCGATGTGCAGTAAGTGGGTAAGCTGGTGGTTGGCTACATTGTGTGAAACCAGCAGGGTCAATGATGGCGATAATGGGGAGGGTAAGTACTGTATTGGGGTTAATACTTCTGAGCTGGCCAAGAGATTATAGCACTGTCTAAAATATGGAAGACCCCTCAGTGAAATGCTTTCAGAAACAGGAAATAGTAATCAAATTACACATTAAAAGATACAATTGAAAGAATAGTGGATGCTAATTTAAAATTGAGGTGGGGATTATGAATAATGCCTTCTTAAATGTGAATTTTCTGGATTTATTTTGTAAACAATCTGCCTCCCGATGGTCTCAGTGAGGATTTTGATATCAGCCTTTTCTTTCGGAAGTCATTCTACGACACTGGCATAAAACTGATTACAATATAACAGTGTCTTGGTTAACCAATTAAACAACAACAATAACAAAAAATAGACCGGCACTTAAATAAAAACACCCAAGAAGCATTCTCAAAAACCGAAAAGTGACAAAAATAAAATATTTGAAGATATATTTTAAAAGTATCAGAATCAGAATCAGAATCAGTTTTATTGCCAGGTATGTGTACACATACGAGGAGTTTGACTCAGGATTGTACATTGCTCACGATGTGCTTACTTATACAATAACACAATAATAAAATAAAATCAGACACAAACTACAGAATAGACAACACTAATATACACACTATGAACAAAACAATATAGACATATTGACAAATAGTGCAGTGATCAGAGTGCAAAGGATGCAGGAGTAAACTATTCTCATTATGTACATGTTGAAGGTGGATATGATATACAGGTACACATACACATACATGCATACAGGTACACATGTACACAGTGTGATGGAGCATAGTGCAAAGGATGCTGGAAAAAATAAATAAGACCTATGACCTTATGACCTGAGGTAGGTGTATGGTATACAGTATATACAATATGACATACAATACAGTATGAACAGCACTGAAATAGAGAATGGTGAATAAATAAATAATAAGTGTTAGCCAGTAAACAGGTGCTGATTAGAGACAGAGTTACTGGGTTATTGCACAGGAATTGTTCCTGACACTGTGAGTCAGAAATCAGCTGTTCATCAGAGTGATGGCTTGTGGGAAGAAACTGCTTCTGTGTCTGTTAGTTTTGGCGTACAGTGCTCTGTAGCGCCTACCAGAGGGGAGGAGCTGGAACAGGTTGTGTCCGGGGTGAGATGGATCTGCAGTGATGTTTCCTGCCCGTTTCCTGACTCTGGAAATGTATAAGTCCTGAATGGAGGGCAGGTTGGCACCGATTATTTTTTCTGCAGTCCTGACTGTCTGTTGTAGTCTGTCCTTGTCCTTTTTGGTGGCAGATCTAAACCAGACAGTGATGGACGTGCAGAGGACAGACTGGATGATAGCTGTGTAAAAGCAGATCAGCAGGTCCTTAGGCAGGTTCAGCTTCCTGAGCTGGCACATGAAGTACATCCTCTGCTGGGCCTTCTTGATGATCGTGTCAGTGTTGGGCTCCCACTTCAGGTCCTGGGATATAGTGGAACCAAGAAACCTGAAGGATTCCACAGCAGACACAGTATGGTGATGGGGGGCAGAGTGGGGGGGCTCCTCCTGAAGTCCATGGTCATCTCCACAGTTTTGAGTGTGTTAAGCTCCAGGTTGTTCTGACCACACTACAGAGCCAGCTGATCAACCTCCCGTCTGTAGGCCGACTCATCACCGGCCTGGATGAGGCAGATGACTGTTGTGTCATCAGCGAACTTCAGGAGTTTGACAGATGGGTCCCCTGAGGTGCAGTCGTTGGTGTATAAGTAGACTCAGTAGACCCCACTGACCAGAAAACAACGGCAATGGGAGGAAAAATAACCCCCAAAATGTTACTGTTTCAGATACAGGGTGACCAACCACATCACAAGACTACATACTAATATTTCATCAAATCAAAACATCCAGGATCCAGTATATAACGAAACAAGACGTACTGTATGTTGTTCTCTGTCATGTTAGCCATCTGCCTGTTTAATTCAAATAAAGCACTGGAGATATAATCCTCTGTTGTAATGCTACTCTTCAGTATTTGGTTTTTTATTGGACCAGCCTAAATATAGGACGGAAAAAGTGTGCAACTCATCTTCTGGACCCTGATTGTCACAAAATCAAAATAACAACAGAAAGTCATCAAGAGCCTTTTTTGTTGCTCCAATTTAAGTTTCCTTTCATGGTTCCTTGTCACTTTTAGGACAGATTTTAAAGTGTTACTTCTTACACACAAGGCATTACATGATCAGGCCCCTCTGTACAGTGGATTTCAGCTCAGCATTCAACACAGTCTCCCCCACGAAGCTGATTGGCAATCTCAGCACTCTGGGCTTAAGTAGGCAACCACACTCTGCAACTGTTGGACTTCCTCATAAACAGACCCCAGATAGTTTGGATTATCAGCCACACCTCCTCCACTCTAGTGCTCAACACCGGAGACCCACAGGGCTGTGTCTTCAGCTGCCTCCCGTTCACACTGTTCACCCACGACTGCATCCTCCAACACGGTAATAACTCTGTTGTGAAGTTTGAGGACAACACCTCCATCATCGGACGGATTTCAAACAAGGATGAGACTTCATGTCGGGAGGAAATCAATAATCTTGTGGTGCACAGAGAACAACCTACTGGTCAAGGTCAGCAAAACAGATCAGCTTTGTTCCCCCAGCTTAATGAAAATTTTTAATTATTCCTCAGCTTTCTATAAAACAGAGCAACCATTTTATGATTGTTCTGTTTATATTTTCTCCTTTGTAGCTGAAGGGAACTAAAAACTAAAGTTCATTTTACAACCCTGTTGTAATATGACGATAAAATCTACCTTGTACCTTATGCCTTCACCTTCATAAGTTTAACATTTTGGGAAATAAACTTATTTCCTTTCCAGCGGAGAGTTAGACAAAAGGATGGAAAGCACTCTCATGTTTGTATGCTATATTTGGAGCTGGAGCCCGGAGCCAGAAACAGGGATAAACAGCTAGCCTGGTTCTGTCCAATGGTAAAAAAATTTAAATAAAAATCTGCTTTCGAGCACCACTGAAGTTCATTAAATAATATGTTATATCTTGTTTGTTGAATTTTGACAAAAACCAAAAACCACATGCTGTAGATTTACCTTTGGGTTATGTGCTGTACTATTTGTTGGCCCTCTTGCAGTGACTTCCCGGAGTCTCCACTTAGACTCTCTCTCCCTCTTTCCCGCGTCTGGTCTTCCTGTAATACACAAACTATGTAAACACATCCACATTAAAGTCATCACCAATGCAGATAACATTGAGAAAAGTTGGATTTAACACTGTGAAACAAGCAATACTCCAGTATAGTATCATGGCGTGCTACTTATAAAGATTTAAGCCCCCATATCTGGGTTACACTAGTCCCTTCCGCAATCCAGATGATGCCATCTGTGAGAAAAGAGCAGTGTGTGTGTGTTGGTGGTGCTTTCAAATCAAATGCTGAGTGTCTCATTTCACTATTAATCCAGGTCGTCCCCACTAAGATGTTAACAGACCGGCTGTGACTGACATGCTGCTGTTTATACCTAGTGGGTGGTTTGAAACAAAAGTCGGAGAGAACTGAGAAAAGCTGAAGAAGGTTAAATAAAAAGTACAAAGTAAAAACGTACTTTGAAAATTATAGAAAAAAACATTTTGCTAAACTCCATGCATTTTGTTTTTGTGTTGAAGCTATAGGCAATTATTGAATTAGTCGATCAAAGCAGTAGTCCACAAACCAATGGGTGACATCATGGTGGCTACCACCACTTCTTTTAAACAGTCTAGGCCTATGCTTTAATCTCATTTCATACAAGGTAGATTGAGTGGTTCATTATTTTCTTTCTTGCAATTTTTGAATGTACGGTTTCCCCTCAGAAACTGACTAAGTGGTAGCACCCAAATGGTTAAAATGTGCCATCTTAACACCTATTTTCTGTCATCTTCAGAGTTCAGACATTCAAATTTGCCTTATGAACAGGGTTTTCTGTGTCATATGAGGACCATTACCTGCTCCTAGGAGGAAAACACTTGTCCCTACCAATATCTGGCTACTACTTAATTGTCCTTGGCAATGATTTTGTTTAAAACAATTAAATCTAAGCGCTGTTGTCCTTCAGCATCTACTCAATGTACTTGGTGAACATCACTATTTCTTTGCGTTTTTTAAGTTTTGAAAAGTGTCCTCCCCTTGCCGACCTTTTTCAGACCCTCATCAACTTTTATTTTTTTTTTAAATCTCCCACTAGCACATATTTTTTTATTATTCCCCAAAAGAGTGACATGAAATATCGCCCTTAATGTGATTTGTTGTTCTATTAATAATTGGAAATTGCTATATTAATATCCAATTCATAGAAGGCAGCTAATGACTTATAATCCACAAAAATAGGACTGATTCATCCTGAAATAAAACAGTGGATGTCAAACGGCTGGCATGACGACCGTGATTGGATGACAGGAGTAAATCTGCTGACCAAATCCCTTCATGGCTCAAGCTGTGATTTGGACCAGAGAGATTTGTTGTCAGAGTGAACTCCGCCCTGCAGAGATGACTACTGTCACTGTCCAACACACGACAGCAGCGCGTCAGCCGATAAGACAAGTCGACTTCCATTGCCCCGTCCGAGCGTGCTGACGTGGTGGGAAAGAAACGTTCGTTGAGCCAACTGACAAGCTAACTGGCATCTCTATGGTAGGGCTTGGATACTATTGTGTTTTTAAGCATCTCCTGGTGCCGCTTACATAATGTTAGATACCCCTATGTTTCCTGTATGTGTACTGAAAAAAGTTACCTGCTGTTAGATGTTTAAACTTTCTGTCAAGTAGAACAAACAGCTCTGTGACAGACAGCCGTTTCCAAAAGCTTTCACAGCAGAGGTCCGACTGTTGTAACGGTCACGCTGTGAATTATGGGAAATTTGCGAATGACGCTTGCTTGGCACCCTAAAAACAGAACTGGATTTTTTTTAAACGTTACTCTAAATGATGAACTAATTTCTTTCTACAGTCTATGGCTAATTCACAATGATATAGTTGGTTTTATAGAAGGCTGTTTTATCTGTTGATGGGGAATGTTTCTCTGTGGTCGCCTTAAATTTTAGTATATGTGGTACTAATTAATACTTAACTTGAGTATTTCCATTTTATGCTACTTTCTGCTTCTCCTTCACTAAATTTCAGAGATAATACTGTACTTTTTACTTGGCTACATTTATTTAAGAGCTACAGTTACTTATGGTAGCCCATTTCCGTCAATGTGATGAAAAAAGATCCCTCGAGTCATTATAATGAGAATTTTTATGAAAATAATGAGTTAGTATCTCAATATAATGAGTTATAGTATCTCAAAATAATGAGTTAGTGTCTAAAATAATGACTTATAGTATCTCAAAAAAATTTGTTAGTCTAAAATAATGACTTAGCATCTCAAAATAATAAGTTAGCATCTCAAAATAATGACTTATATGATCTTAAATTAATGAGTTAGTGTCTAAAATAATGACTTAGCATCTCAGAATAATGAGTTCCATCCCTCCATCGTCAACAACTTATCCTGCGTACAGGGTTGCAGGAGAATAATGAGTTAGTATCTCAAAATATTGACTTAGTATGTCTTGGTATCTTAAGTCATTATTTTAAGATACTCATTATCTTAAGATACTCATTATTTTGAGATAGTCAATATTTTGAGATACTTAGTATTTTGAGAAGGTGTCTCATTATTTTGAAATATTAAGTAAATATTTTGGGATGCTAAGTCATTATTTTGAGAACATTTCTCATGGCAGAAATGGGCTTTCTTATTAACTATTATTAAGAGTTTACATACAAAACATATGGTCAGTTTATAGAGTATGATCCATTGTTACAGAATAAACTACCAAAAGTATATGAAGTAGTTAAAATTTGCCCCAACTTCACCCACTAAGTGTCACGTACATATTCGTGCATTAATAATAATGATGCAATAATACAATAGTATAACACTGATAGAAGCCACTCTGCGTTATGAGTACTTTTATTTTTGATGCTAAATTCAAGTACATTCTGTACTTTGACATTTTGTATTTTTATTCTGTGGTATTACTACTTTTTCTGAAGTAAATGATTTAAATACTTCTTCCACCTCTGTTTGCACCAATGTAATGTGGAAACATAAAACCTCCAGTGTGCATACGCTGAGAATGAACTTTTCGTTGAAGTACTGAAAATACATTTAAGTCTTAAATTATCGAGGAAGAGCACATGTAATTTTAAGAATTACAAGGTAATTGCATTTTTTTCCTTTAATTTGTCAATGTGTTCAGTTAATAACTTCACATTAACTTTATAGTAAACATTTAAAGGAGGCTTTGTGTGCATGTTGCTCTCAAGCACTTGATTTGCTTGAAGCACAATAGAATGGAAGCCCTAAGCGGCCATCCATTCAAATATTTTTTTTACTCTGTTGTCCCAGGATAACGGGATCATTTTCTCACGATCTCGAGATAACAAACCATAGCTGAATACAGGGGTTGGCCAGTGAGTTTCTTTAGGATAAGTTAAGAGCACTTTACAATTATCCCATTATCATGGGAAAATGGAGTAAAAAAATGTTTGAATCGATAGCTGCTTAGGGCTTCTATACAATAGTAACCTGAGTACAGAAATAAATAACATTTTGTTTCTGCTTTTGTAGAAACTGAGGAATTGACCCCTTAATTTATAGATCATGTTTCATTTTTGTTAAAAATGTTAGAATGTGAACATTAATGTGGTGTTATAGCTCTAAACTCCCACTCTCTCTGCAGCTCCATGCACTTACCTGTGTAATCAAACATTCAGGAGTTCACTCTAATTTGTTTGCGTACCGAATATGAAAATTATGTTTGTTCTATTATTATTGTTCTTATTGTTACTAGTGCACTGACTAACCTATACCTGTAATTACTGGCAATCACTCAGTCCCCTGTTTCAAGTCCATTTAATAAAGCAGTGCAAAGTGACTTGCAAATTCACTTACAAATTGCCACATCTGTTGTCTTCACACCTCTTTTTATCAAAATAAGCTCACTGAATAAAACAGCTGTTGTTCAGTATGTTTAATCCTTCAAACAAAATGCCCAGTAACATACAATAGGTGTAGCACTTTGGCAGGTGGTGATAAATTGTGACATTCTGCAGCAAGTCATACAATATTCAACACAGCAAATATAACACAACCTTAAAGAGTTTAATTTTGATGCTGTCCATTACACTTGTTTACGCTGTCCACTCTTTTTAAACGTAATATCATCAAAATGTTAAATTCAGTTTTGATCAAATAAACATTTACAACATGCTTTTTAAAAATATACAATTTATGTATATTATAATTTTATCTGAAACTTGTAAAACTTAAAAATAAATTCTTATAGAAAGTATAAATACTGGAAATCATTACTCTAGTTATTGGTGAGTAAATCAGTAACAATAAAAGTTACATGCATTAAAGTGGACTTTGTGCCTAATGAATAGGTCAGTGTAACCCGTGTATTTACATGAACACTGATTGCTTTATGAATGTGGATTAATGTGCTGATAGTTCTACTCTGGTTGCAGTATGCAGTATGCAGTGAGCTGTCCTCTGTCCCCCAGCAGGTGGCTGAGTTGTGAGAAGGGACCATGCCTTTGGTCAAGAGAAACATTGAGCCTCGGCACCTGTGCCACGGTGCAGTGCCTGATGGGATTGGCAACGAGCTGGAGTGTGTAACCAACAACACGCTGTCCACTATCATCCGCCAGCTCAGTAGCCTGAGTAAGATTACAGTAACTCATATTTAGTATCATTTGTATCATAACATGTTCAGATGCTTTTTAACCTGAGGTCATTACAGGAGGGAAACTGTAACAACTGCAAAATCACCCAAATCAGCATTAAACAAGTTCATTAGAAGTCATGGATTAGTGGATGCAGTAAGTAATAATCTCTGACTCTCAGTCATCTCAATTAGGGTTTGTAGCCCCATTTTGATAAACACAACACAAAAATCTGACACATTTTTGGTCTTCAGGAGTTATGACGTAAACACAACAGCAGATCAGAACTTCTTCACGGACTCTCCGATGATTTGAGCCCTGATATATTGACAAAGATAAATATCACATTAAAGATAAAGCCATTATCACCTAACTGTTTCAGTTAATGTACATTATTATACAACGCTGTAGACAGTACTGAACATCTATCCACTGTATACTCTAATTAGCCAATTTGTACAGAAGTGGACTGGTTTATATGGTTAAGGATGCGTATATGTCTGCATAAGCACTGGTATACCTGTATGTTGTTGTTTGTGCACTGAAATATGTTAGACAGAGAGAGACTATTTTGGGAGGCAAATTTACTCCTGGACATCTGGCCCAAAGGAAACTCTGATTAGTGTGTGTACGTGTGTGTGTGTGTGTGTGTGTGTGTGTGTGTGTGTGTGTGTGTGTGTGTGTGTGTGTGTGTGGATTTAGTGAAGTTACAGGAGCTTAGAGCTTACCGTAAAGCTTTGTATCTCAGGCAGACAAGATGGAGAGTGAGTGGGCGGAGACACAAACTGTTTGACGTGCACCGTCCAGGCACTAAATGCTAGTGTGTAATCCAGGTAAATATAATGGATTCAGAAATGTACAAACAGTATAAATATAAAGAATCCGTGTTTTATAAGATGGCCAAACTTGCTGTACTTTATTTAAGTGTATAAAGCCGAACACCAAATGGACAGTTGCTTCTTGTAAAGCCTGTGAGTAAGACCTTACTTTATCAGAAAACATTATATAGCTGATGTCTAAAACAGGTGTTCGTGCAGATTTCAGTGTTTTCCATGTCAAGATTCTTCTGGTTCTTTGCCCTGGTTGCAGGTAAACATGCAGAAAATGTTTTTGGGGAGCTTTTTAACGAGGCCAACAACTTTTATGGGCGCGCCAACTCTCTCCAGGACCGTATCGACCGCTTGGCCGTCAAGGTCACCCAGCTGGACTCCAGCGTGGAGGAGGGTTAGTTCACTGGAAATCAATCTGTCTGTGGATTTAATACCCTATATTCTACCCTTTCATTTATCCTCACATGCTTTACATTGAACCTAAACGTCTGTCTTGCTGTTTTCTAGTCTCTCTTCATGACATAAACATGAGGAAGGCATTCAAAAGCTGTACAGTCCAGGACCAGCAGGTCTTGTCTAAGGGCAGCACTCCAAACTCTGTGGCTGAGATGCGCAACAGCAGTGACAGGCCTCCTCCCCTCAGCACCCTCACTGCCTATAGGTACTGTACGCATTGTAAAAAAAAACAACAACATCTGAACAGGTTACATTTTCAGGCAGTGTCTCATTTCACGTGGATATTTGTTTTTTTAAAATACAGAGAGGATTCTACTGATGCAATGAAATTCTACTCAGACCCGTCTTACTTTTTTGACTTGTGGAAGGAGAAAATGCTTCAGGACACAGAGGACAAGAGAAAAGAAAGGCGGAGGCAAAGAGTAAGAGCATACTCATATCTCCACTGCTACCTTACCACTTTATTTTTATGTATTTGTTTAGCAAGTGGGTTTGCATCTTCTTTTCTGTCCACCCGTGTACCTCTCCCAGGAACAGAAGCGAAGCGTAGAAAGCAGCACCCTTCAGCGCGAGGTGAAAAAGGTGAGAAAGGCTCGAAACCGCAGGCAAGAGTGGAACAGGATGGCATTCGATAAGGAGCTGCGCCCAGATCACCGTCATCCGCAGACTCTCTGCCGAGGGGCATCATCTGAAGGCTCGCTGTCCCCAGATGGCAGGTTGGTGCTTAATTTTTTGACAAAAAAAGTAGAGATGGAACAGGAAATCTGTGTTTGTAAAATGTCATAAACTGCACAGCTTTGGAGAAATGTTGCTGCATCTGCTCTTTCTGATACTGCATGTGAAATGTTTTAGCCCAGCTTTTTATTCACTGGAAAGTCAGCCTTGTGTGTCCACAATGAAAATTATATTAGGATAATACTTTGGAGAGTGCAAAAAAACAACATTTCATAAGGATTGTCCTGATGTAACATGTCCTCTATGTCTCTGTTCCTATGTTTCCTGTCAGTCTTTACTTCTAAATATCAAAGAAAGGCAACATTTATCTTTAAAAAAGCACCTGTGAAAAAATTGCATAGCTTTGTCATATGTAGAAATATGACAAAATGTAGATTTTAGTAAAAATTACAGACAAAGATGGGAGGAATAAAATCTAAACTGGACTGAGATTTTCAAGAATAGGATATTGTGACTAAAATAACAATATCTCTGTTGTGTAAAGCTTCAGCTGTGATTTTATAACAACAAATCCACCATCTGGATATGTGAAGGCATCTGAATGAGAAGCTCTCATTCTTTCATTGTTTATCCAGGCCTGACCTCCTAGACTATCCCGTCCCTCCAGTCCCCGCCCATTCTGCTTGTAATCATGCCAAGTCACATGATTACGTGCCTGGGAATGCACACCCCTCACCACCTGTGGAGCATGAATACCACAGCATTGATGTCAACTACAAGAGAGTAACCTATGCCACAGCAGAGCCTCATGCAGCAGACCGGATTAACGGTTCAATACGTCCACCTGCAGATTACAAGTATGTTTGTTTGTCGTTTGCATAATTAGAGAAAGAATTAAATATAATATATTTTTTCCACTGCAACATAATTCTCTTTCTTTTAATGTAAACCAGCTCCGTCCCTTCACCTCCTGCTCCAGGCCCACCCATCCCATCAGCCCAGACAGCCTTTGGGTTTCCACATGGTGCGCTACCACCAACAGCACATAATGGAGTTTTGCATGTAGGCCCAGGCTACCCACTCCCACCTGTACCTCCTCCAGGGCCACGCATGGTCCCTCCTCCACCAGGTCCCCCACCTCCACCTCTCCCTCCCCCAGCTGCACCCTCACATATAGCAGGACACAGCTTAGGCAGCAGAGCTCAGACTAAACCTGTGAGAGACGCAAGAAGTGACCTGCTGTCCGCCATCCGCATAGGTGAGTCGGGGTATCAGCAGACATTGGTAGACATTGTATACAACTATATCCTGTTCATGACCCTGTGTGTGACAGGTGTACAATATGTGATCCTATTTTAATACACTGTATGTGTGCACTTATTAGGCATCCAGTTGAAGAAAGTCCAAGAGCAGCAGGAGCAGCAGAACGAGCGGCAGCCGGTGGGGAATGACGTGGCCACCATCTTGTCCCGACGTATAGCGGTGGAGTACAGTGACTCCGATGATGACTCAGAGCTGGATGAAAACGAGTGGTCAGACTGACCGGACAGGAAGTGTAGCACCTGGGGGAAGTTTTGCTTTGTATTGGATCTTCAGTGCAAATAAAACAAAACTGTAAATCACTTGCTTTGGCTCCACCTTGTGGACTCTACGTATCAACCCACTGCTGCCAAAGTATCTTCATCTTCTTTTATTAATATGTGCTGCCCTGTACTTCTCATGAGGAAATGGCATGAGTGAGCAGTTTGTACTATTTTTCTTAAAAGGGTGAATTTTCAGAGCTACTGTACACAGTTTAAATTGGATTAATTGTATGATAATGAATGTTTTGTTTTCTACCACTGATGAAATATGAGCCATTAGTTTCCTAACTTTGTCAACCGAAACTGTATGTTCCAATCAAATGTCCTCTCCTAACAACAAACTAACGCATTGAACGCACCATACCCGTAGCTCTATTGAGGAAATGTGTGATGTCTCAGTACTACTATGCATTCTTCACAGAAGACATTTGACACTTCGCCTTAGGTACACTAAAATGTAGCTGCTCGCTTCAGGGTGCTGGTATTATGATGTTGGCTCACTTGTCATTTGTAACACATGCTCACATCAGATTTGAATCAGTGCAACTATGTAAAGAAAAACCTTAAGGACTTCAGTATTTATTTTGTATCATTTTATGGGATTACACATTCCAGATTAAATTTTGTCCTAAATGTACCCCTCCTTATATTATATAAGTGTTGTAAGACATTTCGTAACTGCTACCTCAATCTGTGACAAATCCACTACCCCACGGTATGTGTAGTAGGGTGTCATAAAGAGTCTGAATACAGTTTTGTTCTGCCATTAAATTATTATTTGTTGTGATGTGTCTTGTTGACATATTAATTCTTTTAGCATCAGCCAGAAAATCATGTTGTGATTGTCTCCTTTACTATATTTTCTTTTAACTTAAACTCTTAGACTGTGCATCATAATCCTCTAGTAGCTACATGTATAGTATAATAATAATAAAAACATTAAAATGTTGTGTTTGTATTTTACTTCATAGTTATTATCTTGTAGCTGTCTTTCCAATTTATCCCATAAGAGATGCTGTTCAATTATGGAATAAAATTCTGTTTTAAACACTTTATTTTACAGTTCATGTATTTATGCATACATGTAATTATTAGGTAGTTATTGGTACAACGCTATCAAATTATGTTAGTAGGCTAGTAGGCAGTAACATAATAAAGAAAAGGGGTAAGGGGTAAAACCTATAGCCACAAAACTTAAATATAACTTAGTCATGAAGTGCTTGACCTTGGTTCATTTATTTAAAGACGGTTTGATTGAAGTGAACATATCATTTATTTCCAGCAGAGGTCAGTAATACACCTGGTCGTAGTGTGTAGAATGGCGGAACTTGGAAACTGGTGCGCATCGGACGCCATGTTGGCTCTACAGCTAGCCAGCCACGTTAGAACGGAGGAAAGCAGTTGAGCCACAATGGAGATTGTTTTCTTCCCGTGACAGTCTGGTGCCTAGCAGGTGATTAGCACAGTGAAGCTCCTCCTCTGCCTGCTACGTTGGAGATAAACCTGGAGAACTGCACATCAAGACAAGGTAAGATATTTATAGTAGGTTTTAGATTTATGAAGGTTTGAGATTTCCTTCCATTCTAGGACCAGATATTGCGTGAATAAGCTTAACTTATTCTGTTTATGACGACGATGATGATGATGACAGCTAATGTTTGCTAGCTAGTTTACCTGACACACGCACCAAATCAGCTTTCCTCTCAAAGCTATGTGTGTGTAGTAACAAACATTATGCTGCCATCTGGCTAGCAAAGATATCCTCAGCCATGAACAGCAGTAGGATACTGTACCTTATCTTTTACCCTGGGTGAAGCAGCATTTATGAACGGTTTTGCAGCCCTAGCAGAGTTAGCTTGTAATCTTACACTGCCCGGCTTGGTCATTCATATCTCGGCGGGTACTATGAGGATCTTGTGTGGTTTGGTACGTGTATTGGATATTGTGGTATGTAAAGTCTGATCATTAGCTGGGATGAGGGTTCTTCACACGCGTGTTAAACTTTGTAAAAGGATTGTCGTGACTTGACACTATCTGTGTTTCATATTCATTCTTAAAATTTTTGCAGGACAGAAGCTGTCAAGATGGATACCTCAAAACTTCCTAAGATCCAGGATGAGGAGCGAGAAAGCCAGTTTGGATATGTGCATGGGGTTTCTGGACCAGGTCTGGTTTATTGCCCTTCTCTTTAAATGGCTGGATTGCATTGTTTAGCATCAGATAGTCCAACAGCCAGTTACAGTAAGTCAGGCAAGCCTGAAAGGGTTGTGTCTTTGACAACCTTTGACATTATTATGGCTCTCTCCAGGAGTGGGCAAAATGGATATAATGCTGTATCACGATATATTTAGTTCTATATTATGCTTTTAAAACAAAAAAAATCTGTTGAGAAACTGTATGTGGGTAAAACTAACCAGATGGTAATGTTTTTGTTTGAATACAAATCAAGAAACTTCATCACACTGAAGCAGAAATCATACTAAAATCTAATATTGCCATAATACTGTACTTGCTCATTGATTTGCAAGATTGCACACAATGAACTATTACTCCCAGATATATTCAAAGGAAAGCTACTATACTATAAACTATATAAAAATATCTTGACAGTACACACATTTATATCAGCTCATTGTATATCATAATATTGCTCAAAGTGGTTTAGCAACTCAATCAATCAGCATCTTTATCTAGCTTTGAATCCCTTTCACTGGTGGTAAAGGTCAAATTTGTAGGCACAAAATCATTGAGAAAATATTGAAGTAATTTAGTTGGTTTCATTGTATTATGGCTGCTGAGTATTTGTTTATATATATATTATTTATTAAACTTTTTTTTTTAAGGTAAATTGTGTGTGTATATATACCTATATGTTAATATGATTTATATAACTATGGGCTTTTACATTTTTTTAAGCTATTCATTTTCTCATTATTGTATTAATACAACACTTTTCACTGCACTTTGAATGTGCCCATACAAAGTGTAAGCATGAAAAAAACTGAATATTCTTCCCCAACAGATTTGTTCATTGTATTCATTTCTATATTTGTCTTTAATTTTTTCCCCCAAATTTGTCCAATCAACAGTGGTGACAGCTACTGCAATGGCGGGAGCAGCCATGTACGAGCTGGTCCGTGTAGGTCACAGTGAGCTGGTGGGAGAAATCATCCGTTTAGAGGGAGACATGGCAACTATCCAGGTCTACGAGGAGACTTGTATCCTTTCTGATGCCATATGAACTTCCCCTGTGGTTAAACATGTAACAAACCATGCCATGATCTTTCTTAAAACTAAATTCACATAATAGATGTTACAAAAGACACATCTTATAGCTACTTTACTGATAGAAAGTGGGAATATGAATTTGATGTGCTTGTGGTTTGTTTAGTTTTCTTTAACTTAATGCTACAGCTGGTGTGTCCGTCGGTGATCCTGTCCTTCGGACGGGAAAACCCCTCTCTGTTGAGCTGGGACCAGGAATCATGGGCTCCATCTTTGACGGTATCCAGCGTCCACTTAAAGACATTAATGACCTCACTCAAAGTATCTATATTCCAAGAGGAGTAAACATTAGTGCTCTTAACAAAGACATCAAATGGGAATTCACACCCGGCCAGAGTCTTCGGGTAAGAAAATTACAAATGGAGTGTTATGTGGATTTGGATGTTTCTCCTCAGTAACTGTTCTGACTATTTTCACCTGATCTCTCCAGGTTGGCAGTCATGTGACAGGCGGCGATATCTACGGCATGGTGTTTGAAAACTCCTTAATAAAGCATAAGATGATGCTTCCGCCTCGCAGCAGAGGCACTGTCACCTACCTTGCCCCACCTGGACACTACAACATTTCTGTATGTTTCTGTATGAAGCAAAACACTGTTCTGTTGGATCAACATCTCCTGTGAAGCTGATTTTCTCACTTTGTTGCGTTCAGGATGTGGTTATGGAGCTGGAATTTGAAGGCGTGAAGGAGAAGTTGACCATGGTGCAGGTTTGGCCAGTACGACAAATCCGCCCAGTCACAGAGAAGCTACCTGCGAATCATCCGCTGCTGACCGGTCAGAGAGTTCTGGACGCACTTTTTCCGTGAGTTATCCTCTCATTTGCTTTCATAACTGCAGACGTTAAACAATTTGTTCTCAGTTGTGGAATCAGGAAAACTGTATGTACTTGTAGTAGAAATTAGGATGGAATTTAATATTTTGTGTATATTGTTCTTGCTACTACTTCTCCACTCTATTTAAACTTGCGCTTTAACTCTACAGTGAGTCCTCAACATGTGTGGAGCCACTTATTTTATGTGTGATTAAAGTCTGTAAGCGGCAAATCAAACTGCATGACCTTTGTGCTATACAGTTGCGTGCAGGGTGGCACCACTGCTATACCAGGCGCCTTTGGATGTGGAAAGACGGTGATCTCGCAGTCGTTGTCCAAATATTCCAACAGTGACGTCATTATCTATGTCGGCTGTGGAGAGCGTGGAAATGAAATGTCTGAAGTGCTGCGGGATTTCCCTGAGGTCGGTGGATGAACAAAACGTTTTCCTTGTGCCATATCTGTTATTTCTGCCCAGTATATAATTTACTGGGTCATTTTCAGCTCCCTTTAAGCTTTGAAGATGAATGAATCTTCAATACTGCACCAGTGTTCACATTGTGTGATGTTAACACTGCTCTTTCCCAACAGCTTACGATGGAGGTCGATGGCAAGGTTGAGAGCATCATGAAGAGAACAGCACTGGTTGCTAATACATCTAACATGCCTGTGGCTGCCAGAGAGGCCTCAATTTATACAGGTACCAACCATTCACATTATAACGAACAGTCTCAATGTTTATTTAAAATGCTACTACATGATTTGTTTTAAAATAAACATGAGAAAACTAAGTTCATTTACCCTTTTGTGTGTCTTTATAAGCAATGGGAAAAACTTAAAACGCCCTGAAATCCCATTCTGAATGATGTTGAAATAGTTACAATTAAGTAAATGTTTCTTTCCTGTTTTGGGGAATCCATTAAATGCACTTTCATGCATTTGTAAATTGAATATAATTACCTCTGCAGGGATCACACTGTCCGAATACTTCCGAGATATGGGCTACAATGTGAGCATGATGGCCGACTCGACATCTCGATGGGCTGAAGCTCTGAGAGAAATCTCTGGAAGATTAGCTGAAATGCCTGCTGGTAAGTTCACAACCGATGTGATTGATTTTATATGTCTTTTTGAAGACACTATGAGACAGCTTGCTGTGAAACCACTTACAGCTGTGTACTTCGTCGTCTGTAGACAGTGGGTATCCTGCTTACCTGGGAGCCAGGCTTGCATCCTTCTATGAGCGCGCCGGACGTGTGAAGTGCCTGGGAAATCCAGAGAGAGAAGGCAGCGTCAGCATCGTGGGAGCGTGAGTTGGCTTTTATATACGCACCTGTTGAAATTGACTGAAAGTAGGTGCATTAAAACTACATGTTTTAGCCTAATACTTACAACTAATACTACTATTGCTGTAAATACGTATTTCCAAATCAGACCAAGGATTCAAAATGAATCTCCTTCCTTCCAAGCAGCTGTTGCTTTTAGTTCATTTCAGTAACCATGAAAATCAACTTGTATCACCTGCTTTTTGGTGCCTTCAATGATCCTTCCCTGTCAAAGTTTCTGCAAGTTTCTTGCCGTAGCATTATAAAACCAACTAAAACTAATGGATGGTTGGAAATCAAATACGCACACAACATAATTCATGTTAGGTACATTATCAATTATTAGATGACCCTTTCCTTAAAAAATGTGAATTCTTTTTAGTGTGTCACCCCCTGGTGGAGATTTCTCAGACCCTGTCACTTCAGCCACATTGGGAATTGTTCAGGTAAGTAATGGGTAGTGGCTCTTCGGTCCTTGATGTTAAAATTTGGCTTATTCACCTTAAAGTAGTTATTTCTTTTGCGCAGCATTCTGAGTTCGTGTCAGATTTTTTTTTTTTTTTTTTTCTAGGTGTTCTGGGGATTGGACAAGAAGCTGGCTCAGAGAAAGCACTTCCCTTCTGTAAACTGGCTGATTAGCTACAGCAAGTACACACGAGCTCTGGATGAATATTATGACAAACATTTCCCTGAGTTTGTCCCTCTCCGTACAAAAGCCAAAGAGATCCTGCAGGAGGAGGAGGACCTGGCTGAAATCGTGCAGCTTGTAGGCAAGGTGGGGCCGGTTGAGATTATATAACATGGTATAACACAAACTTTGGCCTTAAAAGTAACTGAAGAGTTAAGTGAACACCTGTGAAACACAGCAAAACATTTTTTATCTGTGGCTCAGTTAACTGCAAAGAAAGTCTAGTTGACAAAATGCGTTTGATCAAAAACTCAAAACAAATGCTGTCAGCCTTTATTAATGTTTCCCACACATTTTTACAGCCATGTTATGTGTAAAATCTGTGTTTTAAAGATGAGCCTTGTTAACATGCTATCCTGGTTAATCAGCAACTCTGATAAAATATTAGCTGATCGTCATGATCTTGTTTTGTTCACAGGCTTCTCTTGCTGAATCTGATAAGATCACTCTAGAAGTAGCTAAGCTCATTAAGGATGACTTCCTGCAGCAGAACGGTTATACCCCCTATGACAGGTGAATTTAAAACAACTCACACAATACACAGTACACAAGTCTTTTCCACTCATAAGGCATGAAATGGCTCTCCTTACTCTTCTTCTTTTTAAAATCACAATGGAGATAATGAATTTTGTAAACATTGAAATACTGTTTTTCTAAAACAAAACATTTAAAAAAGTTCAGTCCTGCTTTTTTTTAAGAAGAACTTTCTCACAAGAGCAACAAGTTAGAAACATTTCTTGAAAAGCTAGCCATTAGCAAAGCAAAGTCATTACTGTCCGGCAACTACACAGCTTTGAAGTTAATGTATTTTTAGACATCCAAGTGATTTCTGTGGACATAATAGAAAAACTAATGTGGTCTATTGGTTTTACATAAAGCCTAATCGTAGTCTTATCATCTGTGGATATGAAAGCGAGGTGTCTGTAAATATCTTCCCTTCATGAGATTATTATATAAACTTATGAGACTCATCCTTCTGTCTCTACACACAGGTTCTGCCCTTTCTACAAAACTGTCGGCATCCTCTCAAACATGATTGCTTTTTACGACATGGCCCGGCACGCAGTGGAGTCCACAGCACAGAGTGACAACAAAATCACCTGGGCCATGATCAGGGAGCACATGGGAGACACCCTGTACAAAATCAGCTCCATGAAGTTCAAGGTACATAATTATTCCTAGCTGATGTTTTATGTTATCAGTCAAGAGACTTGTTAACTTATTTTCTGTTGATGTAACACCTCTTTATGTTCACTGGATTCTTTAGGACCCTGTTAAGGATGGCGAAGCTAAAATCAAAGCAGAGTACGCCCAGCTGCTAGAGGACATGCAGAACTCCTTCCGGACCTTGGAGGAATGAGTTTCTTACCTCTCAGTTCCTCTCCTAAATGTCCAACCCCCAGTGCAGTGCAACATAGTGCAGATTAAATGGCCCATGTTCTGAATGTCTGCCTCAGTCATGTGAAATTCCTTGGTGTTTACGTCCCCTTAAACATTCCATGATCTGCCGAAGTTTGCATTTCGTTTAGTTGATTAATTTAATTTTGGCTCGTCTACTTCAGAAACACAGTACTGGAATATCCCGAGTCCCCTGAAGATATGGTTTGCTCTGCAGATGTAGCAACACCTTCACTCAGCCCGTTGCATTGCACTTATAGATCACTACACCATCATGTTGTGGATAAAGTCAGTGGGCCCCAAATCAGGAGCTGCACTTGCACTTAACTAATAGCTGCAGCAAATAGTGGAAAGGGATGTTTCTTCCCCCCCCCAGATGTGACAGTGTTCAATACAGATTATCAATCAATAATCAGATTAGAAATCAATAATCAAATGGCATCATGCACATGGGTAAAGGGACAGATGCTCTGTGTTACTGTATATCAGGGGGTTAAAGACATTCTTCCACCTCTTACCTCTTCAGTGTGATAGTGATGTTGTGGACTATATACTTGATATTATGTGTAAAAAAAAAAAAAAACAATGTGAATGAATGAGTGTGTTGGTGTTGTGTTGTAAAAGATGTCTCTCTATTATATTCATGGAACATTAATGTCTCCTGAAATAAATGTAAAGAAGTGACTAAAGTTCATTGTGTGGATGTCTGAAAGAGGATGCATCTTTCTTCTGGTGACTTCCTTTTCACAGCTGATTAGAAAGTGATATAAAGTACATTATTTTTTATAGCTCTTTTACCTTGTTAAAAAAGCTAAACATGAGCATGAGAATCAACCTTTGACTTCTGCAACTCCTGAACACAAAGATACTCAGTGAAAGACTCGCACCTCTAGGTGGCGTACACACATTGCTTGAATGCTGAAGGTTGACGGTTAGGAAAAGGCTCTTTTTTTTTTTTTTAACCCCTTGAAACCTATTTTCGGTCATGAATGTGTTTTTTATTAGCTTTGAAAAAGTTAGGAAACCTATATTTACACACTACAGTATATTGTGTATCTGTCTACTTGTTTCAACCGTACAGTATATGATGATAAATGTGAGATATTTGAGCCTGAAACACCAACATTTTCTTATGACTGCACTGCCGCATCAAATGTAAATATTTTAAACATGGTGCGTGGTTATTACTTATAATATAAATATTCATATTTATTGTTAAATCAGGCCCACAAATGTTTATTGTTATTATTGTTTGAGCTGCAATCTGAGTGTAAAAATCAACATTTAACAAGCTGTGCCTAACTTTGAACTTTTGCATTATAGATAATTAAAGCCTCTGAAAACAGGGTTTCAGATCTTAAGAATTTTAAACATAAAATAGTATTTACTAAATGACTTCAACAAAGAAAACATTCTTTGGCTTGGAAATATGAGAAACCAACCCCTCAACTTTAATCATATTTTGATTCAAATGTTGGTAAATTTTGATTGGTGCATGGAAGTACATGACATCACCTTTTTAGAAGGAGTCCCTCCCACTTAAAATCAGTGAGAAGCACACAGACAAAACAGAAAATATGAATATCTTTCATCTGAAATAACCTAAACTGTTGGGTGTTCATATAAGAGCCTAATACTCTTATAATAAGCTAATAAGCTTATTGAGAAAATTGTTTATCAGGGCCCTTAACACAAGGACCAACAACACTACGACGCACCTGACAACATAATGGCTCTGTCTAAACTTAAAAGAAAGATCGACGACAGGATCACAGACCGTGTGACAGGTGGACAACTGATTATTTTTTTAATCAACTGCTTCCTGTCTCATCAAGGAAGCAAAGGTAAAACTTGCTGTTCTATAGGAATACTGTCTCTAAAAAAATATTTGGTTGCACAATTTCCCCCTGTTACATTAGGTTAGGTTAGGTTAACTTTATTTTCCCCAGGGGGAAATTCTGCTTGGGCACAGTGCAGTGTTGCTGAGAAGCACTGACATGTTGTACTTCACAAGAGGGAAATATAAACACAGAAGAAAAAGGACATTCACTAGTGATGCTTTGTTCATTGCAAATACAGCATCTGCTGTACATTGCTGATGTATAATCTTCAGCATGTACTGTTGGTTCAGCCCGTTGTCTACGACACAGCATTAATTCCTCCAAAACAGATTAGAGCTGGTATCTCGGGTTCCGGCCTCCATCAAGACTAATGGAAGCATAACCCACAGGAGCAAGAGCACATCTCTTACTCTGCATTGATTCAGTCCATCCAGACTCACGCTAGTGCCGACATTAAGAGGTTTCTGTGGCCTCAGGATGTATTAGCCTATAGCGTACAATGCACCTGCCTCTCTTTCTCTCATTTTTCAATTTGTAATGACAGACAGGCAGTGTTTGTGTGTGTTTTATGTTTTTATATCCCGGTGGGGACTTTAACCTGGGGATTCATGTCACCGTGGGACAAAAATTGTGGTCCCCACGGGTTAAGAGTGCTTTTTGAGGGTTAAGACTTTACAATTAGGTTAAGGTTAGGGTTATGGGTTAAGGTTAGGCATGTAGTTGTGATGGTAAAGGTTAGGGTAAGGGGCTAGCGAATTCATTATGTCAGTGGGGGTTTCCCCGTGGGGATAGAGAAACTGTGTGTAAAGAAAATAGTGAAAGTGCCTCATTCCATCATGTCTATGGGTATTTTATTCATTTGTGTGGCCATTGTAAAAGTTCACCAGTCGTCTGACAATAGAATAATAAAGTGCTCTTTTATGTAATTAATAGACTAGCTTCTCTATAATATCAGCACTTCTGCAAGTCTCTGACTACTTCATGAACGTCGGGGCATTTGCTACCTGCTCTTCCTCCAACTTTTCTTCCATGTTTTCTGGATTCCCTATCATCAGCTCACTGATCACTTGCTGACTGTAGCAGCAGGGTGAAGACTGGATTCGAGCTCCCATGTTGGCAAATAAGTTCTCTGCTGAGCAAGAATCTGAATCCAAATTCCTAACATGTGCAGGGGGAGCCTGATTGGTGTTTGACCCTGAGTGGAAAGAGAACAGAAAACTCCCCTGCAAGGATCACTTATTTACACTGTTATCTAGTGTTGTCACATATGTCATACAAAGAGTATACTATGTAGAAACACAGGCTCATTTAAACAGCTCCACACACAAATACACTCTTCCAGAGTTTTCTGTGTGTGAGCAGCGAGCCCAGGTTGCTTGTGGGAGGAAATCTGATCCCAGAGGGCGGGGCTGTCCTGTGGATCATTGCTCACTCTCATCCACGAGTGCCTGTCATGCTTCTCATATACACTCTCGTCCAGCTCAGGGTGGATTGCCAGGGCTGCTGTGTTGCAGCTTTTGAACACCTCAACATAGCCTGTCAGCTGTGGGAAGAGGTATGAAAGGCTCCTGGCTCTCTGGCTCCCTCAGCCACTTTATTTACCAAGCATGCCAGCATTACAACTTCAGATGGTAACTTTTAGAAAGCTGAAAAGCAGAAGTAGGCTATGCTAGAGAACAACTTGTGAACTAGTTAATGACATGTGAGGAAGGTAGTCTTGTAAAAAGAGATCTGGCAGATGCAACACAATATCAAACCACTTGTCAGGAGGAATCTAAGCTACGTTCTGTTGGGACACTTCCACTGTGGGAATTCATGAAATGAAAACCATCTCGCTGCACTGATATGGTGTCGCCGCAGCACCACCAGAGCAGAAACGTCAGTCATTGACAGAGGAAGCTTAGTGACAAAGGTTCGTCTTTTTAATTTTCCTCTTCATCAATTTGCTGAATAACTTTTACCTGGAAAGAGTCAATGTGACATTTCAGCTGGGCTGTATTGATGTTTTTGTATTTTTGTTGTGGGGACAAAAGGTAAGTTGGAAGAGAGAAGATTTATATTGCATTTGTGAAGGTAGAGTGCTAGAAAATTAAGTTTAATTTAAAAAAATTAAGTCATTGAAACTAAGATAAGACAGACAGACAAAAGCTGTCTGAGATGTATATTTTTATTTCTGTTAATCCCTGGTCAGGCTCCATATGACAAGGCTGTAACCCAAGTTATAAACCAGACTAAAATAATAACTTACACTGACAATAACTCAAGGACTTGGCTTAGCTGGCCCAGATAGTTTGTCCCTGTGGACACAGTAGCCTTGTTTCAACAAATTACATTAGAATCTCTCGAGGACTGAGGATCCTCTGATTTTGGAAATGATTAATTTTTATTACAAACAGAAAATCTTGTAGTAAGTTACAGGTACAGGTTGAGTCAAGTGTAAGTTGCTGTAAACTGTATCTGTATTCTTATTATGTAGCTTTATAAATCTCATATAAAATCCTTTGTTTTTAGAGGATTTCAGAGGTTTTATATCATAATAAACAGTAAAAGTAGTAGTAGCATAATTGCTGTCAGATGTTTCTGTCGTACATATGTGTTTTTGCCGTGTGAGTCACCAGTTGTCATGGTCATTGTTCCTATGTGCTCTTCTACAAACTTGAAATTAGATACACACAGGTTCTGGATTTCATGTTTGTCGTCATTATCATTGCTTCTCAAATTTGGAGAAACAGTGAAGGGAGAGGTCAGTGAGACAGGGTCAGATCTCTCGCTCTCTCTGTATGGGTGTGTGTGTGCGTACGTGTGTGCTTGCTTGCTGCATATAGTGAGTGCGTGTTATACTAATTGCTAATACTAATTGCAGGAAACATATAGATTACTAAAACCCTTTTTGTTCTGAGGATTGTTGTTGGTTGTGGCATTGCCTTTTTATATTATGCATGTAACTTACATGTTTTAACATATTCTCTACACCAGTGTACTGTTCATGGTTCAAGGATACAGAATTTTAAAATGATGACCTTTTGTGTTGAAATGACAGCTTGTAAACTTCAGTCATCTTTAGCAAGCCATTATGAAATGGGAGAAGTTAAAGCCTCCAGAGCCAGATGATCCTATGTGTTGCTGTGAGTGTGATATCTACCAGTACGGATGTTGCTGTGACTGTGAAGATCTGGATGAAGCCTTTAACAGGTATGAAAGGCTTGAGGAAAAGGGTCAGTAGCCTACTGAGTACAATTACAGTGGAATATGCTGAAGTACTGTACTGGAAAGTAAAACAAGCTTTTGCTTTAAATGTTGTTCACATAGAAGTAGCATCTTTTAAAGTCTGCTCTAAGTAACAGACTTTTTTGTCATGAATTGTAACCAAGAAAGAGCAAGTGTGGTTACAGCTGGAAGTGAACAATTGCCCCAGGGCCCTAGACCCTCAGGTGGCCTGAGGGCTCCATGATGCGATTTATTTTTGGTGATTAATTTCAAACTTGCTTGGTAACAGCGTAGGCAACACAAAAGCACAATATGAATTGAAATGACAGGGACCACAAAAGAATATTTGCTTTCTGGGAGGAGTGTTAGATGAGAAGATTAATTCCACTCTCACATTTGCCAGTGAAATTCGAAGCTACAGCAGCTGGTTAGCCAGCTTAGCATAAATATGGGAAACAGGGAAACAGCTAGCCTGTCATCTTGACTAGGAACGGTCACTTCCTGTGATCTTTGCTGGTTGCCTTGCTCCATCTACTAGCCAAGAAATAGTCTGGAACATAACACCCCCTGTTGTTTTTACCCTATGAACAGAGCCAGGCTAGCTGTTTTCCCGTTTCTTTGTGCTAAGCTTTGTCTCTTGGCTGTAGCTTTAACTGACAGACAAGACAGCAGTATCAGTCTTCTACTCTGACTTTTGGAAGGAAATCAAATAGATCAATTTCCCAAAATGTCAAACTATTCCTTTTATGTAACACCAATCTTAAGGCCTTAGAGGGGCCCCGAGTGAAAATCTAGAATTCAATATTATTTCAGTTGTGCTTACAGGTTGCATATTCCTTAAAAAATGTATGCTTTATCAAATTACATCAAACAAATGACTACTAAGTAATGCATGCACACTGCACAGAGAGGGGAAGAAATAGGGGGCCCCAGAGCACAATTTTTTTCTGGGGCCCCCTAAAAGGTTAGTCTGGCCTTTATTATAAGAAAACTCTCCCTGAGAATTCCTCAGAAAGTAAAAAAAAAAAAACTAAATATCTTTCTAACTATGCCATTATAGCATCAATGTAAGCTACACTGTAAATCTTGAATTTGAGTACAGTACTTAAAAAAACAATCTACTTATGTGAAAGCATCACTGATTTTAGAGTGTATGAAATGTATGCCTGACAAGCACAGTGAAAACTACTTTCTTTCCACCAATGATAAGAGCTACAATATTAGCTACACTGATGACCACTTTTCTCTGTAGGTGGCTGAGAGACAGACCCCCTAAAGGTCGATGTCAGTCTCCTGTACTCGGGGCCATGATTGGCAATCTGGAGATCTCCATGATCCCGGCCCTGGTTCTGCTACCTCTTCTGCTGCAGGTTGCAGCTCTGCATTACCTGCTGGGTATCATCATCCTGACAGCTCTGCCCGGCCTGGTGCTGTGGTACTACTACGCCACGCACCGAAAGAGGAGACGCACCCTCTTCTTCCTCACTCTTTCACTCTACTCCCTGTTCTATATGTATTACCTTTTCATCACAGAGATCTTACCGCGTGGGGACGTCAGCCAGCTGCAGGCATGTACTGTGACCGCTGGGATGATTCTCACTATCGTCTCTCTTATTCACACTAAGAGAGGCCCAGGATTTGTGACCACTTCCCCACATGAAGCACACAGTCAAGAGGCTAACAAGGACTCCAAACACCTTAATGGAGCTATCCAATCAGCAGCCTCCTCCTCAGGGACTACAGCAGAGTTGCAGACAACAAAAGGGGCCCTGACAGCAAAATGGAGCCGGTGTCCTGTGTGCAAAATAATGCGACCCCCGCGGGCCGGACACTGTAGAACCTGTGAATCCTGTGTCCAGCGTCTGGACCACCACTGTATCTGGTGGGTTGGATTTAACATAAATATTTATATATTTCTTGTGTGGCCTGTGAATCACTTTTAAGTCAGTTATACTTTTTTGTATTCTGCATTCACAACAGATCATAAAAATGAAGGTAGAATTATGATGGATTAGATAACTGCCCTATAGTTACACACCAGCAATCTAATCTTCAGCAAAGACTCCACCTACCTCCTGTTTTCTTCTATAGCAGAGAAGGAAATGACTAATAACCCTTATAACATTAGATTACACACCAACACCAACATCAAATCTGTCAGTTAAATGGACATAAATCAGCCATTAAAGTGTAATTTTCAACTTTGTAGCTGTATAGTTGTATCTATTTGTATTAAAATATGTTCGGTTTTATTTTTTAAAGTTATAGCAGTTCTCAGCAAAACTATGTTCATATGTAAACCTAAACTAGACCTGTAAGCAGATATACCTAGCACCTGACGCAACCAAAGACCATTTCAGGGCAACCAGGAGGACAAAGCTATGGCCTTTGAGTCTGCGCTAAAAAAAGGAAGTGTTGAATTGTCTCCTAATGTAGGTAATGTTCTCTGCAAATATTTACCACTAATACTAATTCTAACTCAAAGGCAAAAATGTGTAAAAAAATATATTTTTATCTTGCTATTGCATGATTTTACAAACAATAGTAGGTGTATGGAGTAATTATCTGATCTCAACCTGTACATTGTTTGGTGTGTTTGTGTGTTATGTCTATATGTGTTGAGGTGTTGTAGGATAAACAGCTGTGTTGGACAGGCAAACCATCGCAGTTTCTTGCTGACCCTCTCCGTGTTCGTACTGACCTCTCTCTATGGGATCAGTTTGGTGCTTTGCAGCCTTTGTCCTCGACAGTATCTAATGACAGCTCTCTTCTACTGCCCCGGCGTCTACAGTCAGCCTAGGTACAACACTCTTTTATATTTCCTTTCTATTCTTTCCTGGTTGATATTAAATAATGAGCACGATCAACAAATAGTTAAAACATCAATAGCATTAGCAGGGACATAAATGATGCAGAAGGATGTCTCTTTTTTCTAACACAGTTTTACTGTGTTAGTCGTATTCTTTTCATATATTCAAGACAGTCATATTTTGTCATAGTCAAATTTCTTTTATCACTGTTACTTTTTATTTACTACCTTCCTTTGTTTATTTTGTCTTTTGAACCAGCATGAACAGCATATACACTTCTGGCAATGTATGCATACGTGCATACTTCCCTCAAATATGCCCTCTTTTTTCACTTGGATTACACCAAATTTATCTGATTATCAGATCAACTTATACCATGTTCACAAAAGTGAAATAACAGGTTTATAGTTAGGTGGCAGAAATATTACAAACACTAAATAAAGTGATCAGCTGCCAGCTTCTTGCCAGTGTTAAGAAGTTTAAAATGCTGCACTTTTAAATGCATTTCTTTCTTCATGTTTACAGCACGGCGCTTTGTTTCACCTGTGCTTGGTACAGCAGCATTGTCACAGGTGGATTGCTTTACCTGTTGGTGGTACAAGTTCTGAACATCAGCTTCAATGTGACGGAGCGGGAGTCTCAGCTAGCTCTGAGGAACAAAACGGGGCAGATCCGCCTGTGGGGACTCGTCATCGACACAGGAGAGAATTCACGTGGCTTCTGTCAGAACTGGGTTGAGTTCCTCACCATGGCAGATGCCGCGGTGTCTCCTCGCTCCAGCCTCACTGACTTGGTCTAGTTTCACATTATACTCTAATAACATCATGATAACAGACTGTTAATACAGCATGTGTGAAGAATTCCATCTCATGTATTTCTTATATCAGTTAGTGACTTCCAATGCTTATTGCATTTAATACATTAAACAGTATTTTAACGCTACAAAGAGTTGCAGGGGGATGTCAAGGTACTAATGTTGACTACTTAATAAACCACACATTGACACATGTTTTGGGGTTGGAATTTGTTGTACAGCTGTCTATTTCTAAGGAAATAGCATACACGCATGTTACTGTACATATTTTCTCTACCTGCAGAAAGTGAAAATCATGTGTGCTTTCTGACTGAATTCAAACTATTTTTGACTGCATGTCAATTAAAAAATGAAACCTTAACCTTTTAATAAATGAAGACTGACTCTGGGGTTGAAGTCAAAGAAGAACTACAGCCATGCCTTCAGCTCTGTGAGATGCTAATAGTCAGTACGCACCTAGAAAACACAACAGCTGAATTCATGAAATGGAAAAGTAACTGAAAAAAATGGAGAAATAACTTTGCAGAAAGTTTACTAGCAGTGTATAATAGCTTGGCTTTGCTTTGGTGGTGCCAGACAAAAGCCCTTTTTGTGTCCGCAATTGAAAGGGTTTAACCTCTGTACAGTGGCCACAGAACATCTCAGACTTAACTTGTCAGGCTCAGCTGTCAGACTTCCTCAGCCGCAGATGTGCTTTGTCAGGCTCAGCTCTGCTATGCTAATGCATGTTAGAAACATGCCTTCAGTTAGCATGTTTGCACATTTAAATGTTAACAGACATTTAGCATTTTACCATGCTAATATTTCCTTTTTAGCATGTTAGCTTATTAGCAAGCTGTTTCTAGTGCCTGTCTCTCTATTCTGTTTGCACAATTAAAAGCTGCAAATCAATCAGTGTGCTCTAGTCTCTGTTTTTTCTATGGAAGTTTGCTGTTGTCAAACTGAGGAGCACCTGATTCAGCTGTATATTGCTTTGATTGTGCGGAGAACCCTGTTTCAACTAGTACTATTCTCTGTCAAGCAGAAGGGTGGAGCTGGCTGGATGCCTCCCTGAGGAGATCTCCTGACTATGGAGAAATCCCAGGGACATGCAGGGGAGATTATATATCCCATCCTTGCACTTTTATAAAACTTCAATTTAGACTGTTCATTCAGCATTGGATTTAACAAAACAGGCATAAATACTGGCACAGACAGATCACTGCATCTGACCCAGTGGTCATCTTTGCTGTTATGACTGATGCAATCTTGTTTTTCCTGTATTCACTTAATATTGTTCTCTGCAGTTCTCTGCATTATTGATTTTTTTAATCTAATGGTTTTTGTCCATTGCTTTCTCATAGTGCCAGTGGTGCTTCTTACACTGTCCAGACCATTTAAGACATCCTGTGATTGTTTCTGTAAATAGACAGTTATAAATATTATTTATTTATATTACGCTGAAAGTCAGTCTTGTACTCAAATGTATTGTATAACATTCAATGTGTATATGTTTTTTATTCATTTTATTTATTCACTCTTACTTAGCATAATAAACATAGCAAACTGAACAGTGTATGTACTCTCCTGTGATGTATAGACTGCAGTGTTTCACGTAGTAGGCGTGTGACCTCTGACATATATAGCAATTGTAAGTCGCTTTGGTTAAAAGCGTCAGCTAAATGAATAAATTTAAATGTAGTGTCATGCCATACACTGCCACCGTCTGGTAAGCCATTGTAAGTGCAACCTAAATTCGTTTAAACCAAGATGGCCGACGGACGTTTGGAAATGCTGAGCTGCTCAGGTAAATCTTGCCATCCCCTGCAGGTAAATAAAATTTGGTAACAACTAAGGAGTACTCCTGAGGAGTAGTGCAATTGTTAAATTTTCCAAGTATTGATTTTATGTTGGGAGGAAATTACAATTAATCATCTGTTCACTAAATTGGACATTATGCATCACTGGCTGTATTTCAACTACAATTAACTCACTTTGTTTTTCTGCTAACTTTTGGGATGTAATTCAATGGATTTATGTTACACTTGCAGTTTTTGTAACAAAAACATTATTTTGTGCAGATTAGTTCCATTATGTGAGTAACATTTAGTGTGTTGCAGCAAGTAATAGAAAGGCATTCAGTGGAGCAAATTCAAAATCAAGTAAGTATAATACTAGTGCCAGTGATAATGAATGGCTGCCAGAAATTGGAGAATCTCCAAATGCTAGCAGTAGTGATAGTGGAGCTGAGGGTGCTGAGATAGAGATGCTGAGGAGTCAGAAGTGAGGTTCAACGTTTACGTATTGCATTAAACTGCATTAGAATATGTTAAAATATGTCACCACATTGGTTTAACAGCATTAAAAATATAGTTTTCACATACTATGTCATTTTATTCATTGGTTTATTAAATAAATATTTCTTCAGTTAATACATTAGGCGCACACTGTCCACCTTAGTAAGAAAGTCCTTGAAAAATACAGTGGGTACGGAAAGTATTCAGACCCCTTTAAATTTTTCACTCTTTGTTTCATTGCAGCCATTTTCCAAAAATCAAAAAAGTTAATTTTATTTCTCAGTAATGTACACTCAGCAACCCATCTTGACAGAAAAAACCAGAAATTTTTGCAAATTTATTAAAAAAGAAAAACTGAAATATCACATGGTCATAAGTATTCAGACCCTTTGCTCAGTATTTAGTAGAAGCACCCTTTTGATCTAATACAGCCATGAGTCGTTTTGGGAAAGATGCAACAAGTTTTTCACATCTGGATTTGGGTATCCTCTGCCATTCCTCCTTGCAGATCCTCTCCAGTTCTGTCAGGTTGGATGGTAAACGTTGGTGGACAGCCATTTTCAGGTCTCTCCAGAGATGCTCAATTGGGTTTAAGTCAGGGCTCTGGCTGGGCCATTCAAGAACAGCCACGGAGTTGTTGTGAAGCCACTCCTTCGTTATTTTAGCGGTGTGCTTAGGGTCATTGTCTTGTTGGAAGGTAAACCTTCGGCCCAGTCTGAGGTCCAGAGCACTCTGGAAAAGGTTTTCGTCCAGGATATCCCTGTACTTGGCCGCATTCATCTTTCCCTCGATTGCAACCAGTCGTCCTGTCCCTGCAGCTGAAAAACACCCCCACAGCATGATGCTGCCACCACCATGCTTCACTGTTGAGACTGTATTGGACAGGTGATGAGCAGTGCCTGGTTTTCTCCACACATACCGCTTAGAATTAAGGCCAAAAAGTTCTATCTTGGTCTCATCAGACCAGAGGATCTTATTTATCACCATCTTGGAGTCCTTCAGGTGTTTTTTAGCAAACTCCATGCGGGCTTTCATGTGTCTTGCACTGAGGAGAGGCTTCCGTCGGGCCACTCTGCCATAAAGCCCCGACTGGTGGATTGCTGCAGTGATGGTTGACTTACTACAACTTTCTCCCATCTCCCGACTGCATCTCTGGAGCTCAGCCACAGTGACCTTTGGGTTCTTCTTTACCTCTCTCACCAAGGCTCTTCTCCCCCGATAGCTCAGTTTGGCCGGACGGCCAGCTCTAGGAAGGGTTCTGGTCGTCCCAAACGTCTTCCATTTGAGGATTATGGAGGCCACTGTGCTCTTAGGAACCTTAAGTGCAGCAGAAATTTTTTTGTAACCTTGGCCAGATCTGTGCCTTGCCACGATTCTGTCTCTGAGCTCTTCAGGCAGTTCCTTTGACCTCATGATTCTCATTTGCTCTGACATGCACTGTGAGCTGTAAGGTCTTATATAGACAGGTGTGTGGCTTTCCTAATCAAGTCCAATCAGTATAATCAAACACAGCTGGACTCAAATGAAGGTGTAGAACCATCTCAAGGATGATCAGAAGAAATAGACAGCACCTGAGTTAAATATGAGTGTCACGGCAAAGGGTCTGAATACTTATGACCATGTGATATTTCAGTTTTTCTTTTTTAATAAATTTGCAATAATTTCTACATTTTTGTTTTTTCTGTCAAGATGGGGTGCTGAGTGTACATTACTGAGAAATAAAATGAACTTTTTTGATTTTTGGAAAATGGCTACAATGAAACAAAGAGTGAAAAATTTAAAGGGGTCTGAATACTTTCCGTACCCACTGTATGTGTTTAAAAAAAAATTAATTCTAATTATATTTTGCATGCCTAAAGAGCAATAAAAACACATAGGAAAAAAATCCAGAGAAAGGCTGTCATAATTCATGCATGAAAGGGATAAATAAAGTGCAGCAGTTTGATCACCCCAACATACTCTTAAAGAATAAATAAGTGAATAAATAATGTTGGTCATTTCAGTTCCTCAGGGTATTTTAAGAGTAACCCTGTGAATGATAACTGCTGCTGAGACTCACTGGCTATACTCATGTACATTTATATAATTACTTACTGGGCTTTTTAGTGCAAGCAATGTTGTCATATACACAGTACAATTTGGTGAGCCTTTCTTTAGCATTATTTTAAATGTGTGTGGGTGTGTGTGTGTGTGGGTGTGTGTGAAAGACAAATCAAACCATTTGCCTCTCTCTTTACACCCTGTGTAAAACCATCCATGTTTCATTATTGCAGTAGTAATTCTGGTACTTTCTTCTGGCATTGGAGGAAGCTTTTATGACCAAGGTCATTAAATACCAACCACTCCTAAAAACCATCTCAGAGGTAGGCTATAGGTGCAGACTTGTTTTCGTATTTGGCAGCCATGGACACACACACAGATTGGTTGTAAGAGGGCTTCAAAAGCTCTCGGGTGCCCAAAAAGAGGGCTAAACAGCTCACAAAGTACTGTGTTCTATCACCTATTATTACTGAGACGCTGTTACTTACACCCATGAGAACTGAGTGATATGCTTTGTATTGAAAAGACCTGCTGTATGCCAGTGGTCCATGATTTTGTGTATGTATTCTACTGGATCCTTTTTTCATGTGGACATAAATAAATGGTTAAAATGTGTGTATGTGTGTGTTGTGTTCAGTTCCCCACAGAGTTGTAAGTATGACATCTGGAAGTCTGAGCGCTTGTGGCAGAGCAAGTCTTTCTCACTTTATCCCTCAATCAATTTCTCTCTTATGCTTACTACTCTGAATGATATAGTGTTTTCTTCAATATTGCTGTGCAACTCCATTTTTAAATTCCCTGAACTTTTAATATTAGATGTTATTTCTGAGTGCTCCTGTAGAAATTCAATTGACATGAACAGTTTCTTCCACTCGGTTGTTCATAATTACAGTCTGAAGGATATAATTTGAAGGTATTAACCTTGAAATGTGTAACTCCGGCTCAGCACTGGAAAAAAGGGGCCTATGATTTGCTCTACTTTATCAGAACTATAAATAAGGATGTAAATCATCACAGAGAAAATATGATTGAATATTTTGTGAATAGCTCATTGCCCAGAGCAATCACAGTCTCAATGCTGAGATTCCTATGTGTGCCAAGGAGCTCCAAGGCAGGCATGCATACACACAAACACACACACAGAGCCTTGAGTTGCTATCCGTCATTGACATAATACATTCCCTAGCCCCTTACTCTAACCGTAACCATCACAACTAAGTGCCTAACCCTAACCCTAATCTTCTATTCTAATTCTAATCCTAACCCTAAAACCCGGTCTAAACCCTCAAACAGCCCTTTAAACGTATGGGGTCCAGCATTTTGGCTAAGCTGTCAGACCCCACAAATATAGTAAAACAAGAAATAAAGTTTATGGGATGTTTGGAATCAGGTGTTTGGATTCAGGGAGAATTGAGTCATCTGCCACTGGTGACATTTTGAGTTTGGGAAGCAGACACCATCTCCACTTGAGAGCATGCTTAAGACTGCCCGGAGACTTCCCATGATGCACTGAGCTCCTCTCTCCTCCTCTTCATCTCCATCTGTATGCATTCTTATTCCATTAATACATGTCACTAACTCAACTTCTTCCCTCTCCCTTAGTTTTGTGCTTTCTCATCCCTCTCCCCTCTCCTTCTGTCACTTTCCGCAGGGGTTTCTGGCTGTAGAGTCTTGATCTGTGGTTGTAGGCCACCTGCTGCCCCCATATTTCACCTGCTACTACAATTATTATTGTGCCCGCTCATGGTGGGAATTGTTGGGTCTCTGTAAATAATATTTAAAAAGAGTACAGCCTAGATCTACAGTACAGTCTAACATAACTTCTATTGTAAATGTGTGCTATATCAATAAAATTGAATTGAATTGAAAATTTGGAGAGTGAAGCAATGAAATATTCATTACACCCAAATATTACAGTGACAGAGAATAAACATAATGAATACAGACTGTAATCTTTATACCCTCACAGCTTTGCCACAAAGGTACAAAAGTAATTTGGCCTTAGGGTAGTACACGAGGAAAGGGCATGGATTCATTACTGTAAAGTCAAGAGAGTTTATTTTCCTGGGAGTTTAATGTGCTGAATCTGCTGTTTAGGTCATGTGATTTCTTGTGAATAAAGTTGACATATTGGCCTGAAGATGGCACTAGAGGAAAGCTCATGGAGTGGCCAAAATAAAAAAAGCGTTTGACCCCTGGGCCTAATCTGGTTGACTCTTATTCAATCGATTTAGTTAATCAAGAAGGGTCTACATTATTTGTCAGTATCTGGCTTCACTTATTGAACTGTTACAAATATGTAACACAATTGTAACACACACAGCTGCAGTGTTTCGTGTGAGCCTGTCTTTATAAATACCTTTGTGGCACGACATTACTAAGTATTGGTTTTCTTGGGGCAAAAGGCACACCTGTTTGAACTGGAAAAGTATGTAGGTCGGAGAAATCTTTGTACTGTGGCGTGTATCTGCCTGCATGTGACTGCACAACTCATTAAACTAATTCATCTCCTCATCATCATTCCTGGATTTATATTTGAATCTGTGCAGCGGAGAAAAGTCAAGAGCTCGGCCTTGTGACCAACCTATTTAAGATCCGAATTGCAGACAAAACTAATTGTGCACAACAAAACATACTTAAAGTACCAAAAGTAAAAGTATAAATTTCCATTTCAGGATATAATGATAATAATTATTATACCAATATACCTTTTTCTCCTTAATGGATACCTGCTCTCTCTCTCACTGAAAACAACACCTGAATACAGTCAGGAAGTGTTGTGTCTTTTGGTCAGTACGTTATTTGTAGAGTTTTTAAGTCTACTAGGCCAGTACATTTTAAGGCACATGAATTCATAAATAGATTAGCGGCTACTGCAAACAACATGAAAGCAGTTGACAGAACAATCTCACCTGAAGGTCCATTTAGTAGTTTTTTGGGTACTTTCAGTTGTGATTTTCAACAACCTCAATTGAGAACTTCTTGTTGGCTTAGATCATTGTTGTCCTTCAATCTCTCCATTTTAGGGTCCATTTAGTAACTGTTCTGGTGCTTCTGATCACATCGCATGATCTCAATCAGCAGATGAAGTTAAATTATATTCCATTCTTCCAGGTGATAGACTGAGTGATTAGTTACTCCAATTATACTGAGTCCGCTTATTAAGATGCAAGATCGTTGACTTTGGAATGAACTTTGAAACTCAATGTGAAATCAGTTCTCTTATTTAAAGTGAGGGAGCTATAAGCTGCACATAGAGTTATTTTCATGTCAGTAATTTGTGTAATTTTATGACAAGTGAGGAGGAGAAAGTATTTACAGATTTTTAACCCATAAAAGAGAGACTATAGTTTCACAGGAAAGCATTTCAATTCACCATGAATGCAAGCATCACAATCTGGAAGGGTATTTGTGTTGTCTCTGTGTTTTACTATCGCAACTGCTGACAGATGAATTTAATTCTGTGGTCTCTGCCACAGAAAGCACTGGAGGGCAGCCCCTGCCTTGTTTACCACTTTTGGTTACTGTGTTTTTACAGCTCATACTCATGAACAGTAGGCTGCAAAATCAAAGTCCATTATCAGACAACGTGCTTTCTAACTCTAACTATGTGGCAGAGATTATATAATTTCTACCCTACTTGCTGGTGTGGTTATGCAGTCCTTGGCATGTTTCTCCTGTCTACTGTCACAAATTCACCTCTCACGCGGTTGACTGAATTCTGCCCTGGCAGGGCTAAAAGCTTACCTTGTCGCTGTGAAATTGTTTGTACGTTTGTATGAAGCTACACGTGTTTGAACCCATCCCTGCTCTGGGGGGTTTTGTGGGTGTGGGAGTATGTGTGTGTGGGGTAATCTCACTCTCCACTATATAAAGGGTTGTCAGGCAGAACTACAACAACAGACCTCCAGATCTTCATCCCGCACTCTTCTCCACTGTCATTTCTGCGACTGATCAGTAGCTATGACTTTACTGCTGACTGTGCTGGGAGCCGTGCTCTGCTCCTTGACGGTTTCCTCTGAACTCGTGCCCCAGGCAGACTTCAATTTACAGGGGGTAAGACACATCACTGGGTGAAATTTTATCATGTTTTGATTTAAGTCACAATATTGATTCATGGCACATGTGTGCATTTTGTTTTGTAATTCGTCCTCACAACTGAGTCAGCTGCAGCCTGAGAATCTGAGGTTGTGCTGTTTCAGGATGTGTGATAGGGTGTTACATGACGATTACTAAATTGTCAAAGGAAATTATTTTATGGTTATGTGAGCTAGAAAAAGTATCAAAGGATAATTGGACTTTGACTGATGATGTAAACCTTCATGCCTATTATGTAAAATGCATTTAAACAGCTGTGTACTTGAATTAGATGTGTATCTCCCTCAAGTTTTGCAAAGAGTAAGGTGGCATTTAGGTAAATAAATGTGTTTTCTAACCTATCATCACTTTCTTACACACTAATGGACAACTGTGTGTATAAAATTATCTTTTCAACTTTTCAAAAGTCCTGCACCTGGTTTTTATTTAAAACATGCTGTTTAATTGCAGGTGTTTTTTTATTTTCATTTCTCTAAGTTTGCTTTGTGTTTGTCCACAGATGGCAGGGAAGTGGTACCTGATTGGATTTGCCACTAACGCCCAGTGGTTTGTCAGCCGCAGAGCCAGCATGAAGGTAGGCACGGCCATGATCACCCCAACTGCAGATGGGGACCTGGACCTTTCATACGCCAGTCTCAAGTGAGTTTGAGAGGGCGGACAGGGAGAAAAGAGGGGGTTCTTTTAAATAAAGGAGAGCAGTGGTGACCCAATTTGTCCTGTTTCAATGGTTTCCTTGCAGCTCTGATGGCTCCTGCTGGAGACTAAACAACTTGGCCAGGAAGACTGATACACCTGGAAGGTTCACCTACACAAGTGCGCGTGAGTGCACTCCCACACACACACTCAAATACTTAACACACAGAGGCGTGCAACATTCACAATTAAACCATCCACTGTATTTCTGCTTTTACATGATCCATTTTGCCCTTCTCCCTTTGGGCAGGCTGGGGAAATGAGAATGACATGCGGATTGTTGACGTGAAGTATGACGAGTACGCCCTGATTCATACCATTAAGATCAAGGCGGGTCAGGCCACCATTGTCAACAAATTATATGGTAAAGTCATTAGCCGTGATGCTACACGCTGTCCTATGATTTTGTTCCGTAGTTCGGTAGTTATGCATACTATAGCAAATTCATCTCTTGTGGTTTGACAGGCCGTGGAGTGGACCTCAGCCCTGAGCTGCTGGAGAAGTTCAGGCAGATCTCCTTGGAGACTGGCATCCTGCCTGAAAATATTGCTTTCCTTCCCAAAAACGGTACTTTTTACATCTATGGGAAGGTTTTATGTAAAACATAAGTCACCTGTGATTGAGAGTGATGTTTTTGCACTCATCATCCTACTCTTTCTTATTTCTTCAGCGGAGTGCCCAGCTGCCTAGTTTCCTGCCCCGGTCATTGTATGTCAATGATGCTGTCTGAAGACCTTAACGTTTGCTCTGAATATTCTACTTTTATCAAAGTCACTTCCATAAACTGAGACTACGAATTCTTTTTTTTCCCAGTTTATTTTATTCTAATGCCACTAAACATGATGTAATGCCTGGTTTCAATATTAAGCTTTTGTCTACCTGCAGTTTAACAGAGCAGTCTTTAAAAAGTCCCTTCCAGACATGTTTTGAGACATATAAAATGATTTGCTTTGAATATTTGTGTCTGTGTTTTTTTCCACAAAAAAAAAAAATTAATTGCCTTGTTTTAAATGGCTAAATTCTTTCAATTCTCTCTATAAATATTGTCCGTTCTCAGAGTGTGCACTGGAGGCTGTGTGAAGTTTCCACACCACGAATAGGCTTCCAAACTACTTGTGGAAATAAAGTCATGCTTGTACGTGCTCATCTTAACAGTTCCCTGTGGAGTTGTTTTTTCATGAGAGGGTCCCCAGTTTTGTTTGTGTTGTGCGCACCAGGACGCACATGTGGGTGACGTGACACACATTACTGCCAGTGGTGTCTTATCCAATGATCTAGATTGTAGTAATGTGGCAACAAAGCTTGTAAACAAGGATGTAAACAGAGCAACAGATTTCAATTGTTCCACGTTTTATGAGGGAGGAAATAAATTTAACAGATTTGTGGTGCATAACACTGAAAGTAAACATTGTTTACAAGAAAACCCTACAGGGTACCTTTAAACTCAGATTTAATAGGTGGTCAAAGAAACTTTCCCCCTTCAGCAGATGAGAACAACCTGCTGATGTCAAACTGCACATACAAACATCCAAGTAAAGTAACAATAAGCAGAACAACGTGGGCAAATAAAAAGACAAACTGCTAAAATACTTTGCTTTTATTACCTTTTTTAACAAATACGCTGAAGTACATCCATAACAACACAGTTCAGATTTCCTTTTTAAGAAGTGTTTACATCTACTCGCTTTGTACAGATTTGTATACAAAACAATAATTTACGTCCCATAGAAGTCTAGTTACACTTAGCTATACAACAACGTGTAAATGAAATAAATATAAAAACAGAAATAATCACAGGTGATAACAAAACTGTAAAAAGCCATAGTACAAGTACGCCACCAGCACCTGTCTTCTGAAGTTGCATCTAAAAAGATATACGTTTTCCCTTTCAACTGGCAAAAGTACATCTGTGTAGGTGAAAACAAAGTTCAGTCCATAGTTTTATAACAGCAGTACCAGATATACTGTATGACTCCAATTTAGACAGTTATATTGGTACACTGATGTGAATTTTTTTTTTTAACCCAGCCTAATAATCGGTATCATACTGGCGCTTGTAGATTTTGCTTTTTCTATGATTTAACAGATAAACATGTCAATTCATATGAAAAACAACTTTGTTCATAGAAAAACAAACCATCTGTACAAACAGCTCGTCATCAGTAATAATGTTGAAATGATACATTTTCCTCATCACTAAACTCTTTTCTCCAAATTAATGGGATTTCACTCCCCAGGTAGCATTTTATGGACTACAAATACTGTTAGCCGGGGCTTCATCTCTACTGCTTTGGACACTAGTTCTGAACAACTCACAGTACACTCACTGACTCGAAACTGAAACATCAGACAGGTATGTGATAATCAAGTGACGGGGTAATGATCGCATTGTGATATAGGTGCATATGTGAACTTTTATTCACTACCATAACACATACACTATTTCACTGTGTATTTTGTGTTCATTTCATGATTGTAGAGCCCTGTGTTCAAAGCTAAGGATGATCGTTTCTTTTCCTCCGGGTGCTGTGCACAGCCAGCCTTGTGTTTTTGTCAACACAACAGCAAGCACTATGTTACAGAGTGGTGGGGTCAGAGCACCAGGAAGCACAACAGATGGTTTGTTTATCTTTCACACTATCTTTCTCACTCTCTCTCTTTCTCTCTCACACACACACACACACACACACACGACTTCATGACTGCATTCATCTCATGATTTCCACCGAGATGGGAAGTGCTACTGGGAACAGGTTGCTAATCCATACTGCTGTGTTTAGTACATTAACAAAATGACGCAAACGTTTTGCAAAAATCACACTTCAGTTTTGAGACAAATAATTAGGACCACTGTGATTGACAACTGATTGCGGCCTGCAAAATTAAAAATGTATATCTACAAAGAGACATCTGCACAATCTGCCATGCACACTGTCACCAGCAAGGGACATGCAGTTAAAAGTGCAAGTCTACAGAGGGGTACTGTTGCTAACTCTGACAGAGCATTAACGTTATGTACACGTGTATACATTTCTGAACAAACATTAGGCTGAGGATCAAAAAAAAGGGCTAAACAACAGAACGGACCAAGTGCAGCACGCACACACGCCACACTATTTCAGTGTAAATGGTGCTGTGCTGAGGGTGCAGTGATTGGGGTGTGATGGTTTCTTCAACATTGTTCTTTGTTGTGGCACAGTATTTGGCTCTGTCAGAGTCACTCTGCCTGCACCACGTCTTTGTGGTGGCGCATGATATGCTGGTTCTTCTCCGAGGGGCGTCGGAAGCCTTTCGAACAGATCTCGCAGCGGTGCGGATAGTCTTTTGTGTGAATGGAAATCACGTGGCGCTTGAAACCCGAAGCGTCCCCGGTGCTGTAGTCGCAGTACTGGCACTGGTAAATTCTCCTTTCTTTTTGTCCTTTGCCAATAACTACAGTCACACTGCTGGCCAAGCTGGCTGCGCTGACTCTGCCGGGTGGGCCAGAGCTGCTGGACCCACTAGGCGCAGACTTTTTAGGCGTCACAACAGGAGTGTGTGTCTCTGTCCTCTTAGCCTCACTCTTTTCAGGAGGGGCCTGTTGCTCCTTTGTGTGGACAGACAAGATATGACGACTGAGAACAAAGGGGTCTGCAATTTTGAAGTTGCAGTGCCGGCACTGATGGAGTTTCTTGGTGCGGTGGGAGACCGAGTGCTTCTTTAGTTCAGACGGCCGGTGGAAGCCTTTACCACAGATGGCACATTTGTGTGGGTAGTCCTTGGTGTGAACAGATATGATATGGCGTTTCAGGTCACTGGAGTTGGAACTTTTGTGATCACAGTGGGCACAATGGTGGGTCTTGTTCTCCTCGTGTGTTAGTCCGTGCTGGATTAACTCCTCCTCCTCTGCAAAGGTCTGGAAACAGCGCTCACATTTGTATGGCATCTCTTTACTATGCTTAGTCTTGATGTGGGTCTTGAGATTAGAGGAATCGGCCGACTTGTAGTCACAGTACAGGCAGGAGTAAGGCTTCTCGCCCGTGTGCGTGCGCATGTGTTTTTTCAACTCTGAAGGGTGTCGAAAGCCTTTTCCACATTCCACACAGATGTGAGGGAAGCTTTTACTGTGAACAGCCAACAAGTGCCGATTGAGAAGTCCTTGCTCTGCAGTTTCATAGTCACAGAACTTGCATTTATGCATCTTGGTGGGCGTTGGAGGCGGCTGGCTCTTAGGCTCTCGGTGGTGGTGCTGCAGTCTGTGAGAGAACAGCGCCGCCTGCTGGTGGAACTCCTTGCCACATATTTCACACTCAAAAGAGGCCTTGCTGCTCAGAGCGTGCACCTCCATGTGGTTGTGGAGGCTGGCTTTCTTGTTGGTGGTGAAGTCACAATCTGTACATTGGTACTTTTTCCTCGTCAGAACATCCTGGTGATTATTCTTGGTGTGGCGTTTCAGGAAGCCTCGTGACTTGAACTTTTTACCACAAAGCATGCAGGGGTAAACTGTCAGAGGCTGACCATATGGACCAATGATGATGGCTGGAGACAAAAATGACAAGAGGGAGACGGAAATGACTACATTGCCACAATCTTGCAAACCTTTGATCATATGAGCTTCCACTTGTTTAAAATAATAACCAATAACCTTTTTTTAAATAAGGTAATAGACAGCATATATTTTTTACCAACAACAATCCCAATAAAAACAATTGATAACAAAAACAGGTATGGCCTTGAATTTAATGTAGGGAAAAAATATATCAATAATTAATATAAGCAGCCACACATCAGTGCACACATGATCAATCCTTGGTCCTTGTAATGCAACAGTAAGGTTAAAAGTGCTCTGTGACATACTGAGCAGACAACACAAGTGTAGAGTAAAAGATATAGATGTAAAATATATGTAAAAAGTAAAAGAAGAACTAGGAAGATTTTGTGAGTGCAGCAGCATGACCATTTAGAGGTCCTCAGTCTGAGAAGCAGAACAAATGGCTTTTTCTTAAGTAGTAGGGGGAAAAAAAGGTTTTGTAGAAGTTTTCCCAAGACCCGTATTTGTGGTTTGCTTTATCAAAGGTCTTTCATGAGTTCTAACAGGTAAGAGTTCTCTTTTTGCTTCACCTACACTGGATGTTTTGTTATGAATGAGGACAAAATCTTGTTGAAGGCCAACATCCAGGCTGCTGCAACTGTCAGAGAGGAATGCACAATAAGCCTTGTGCAAAGGATACAAGTGACAGCAGCACAGGGAGCTGGACTGAATCAGGAGAACATGCTGTGCTGATACATTGTGGATTACATTTTAGGGGTGTACAGAGAAGTTCAAAGCTTCGAATCTGACAAATCAATTTATTCAAAATGAGGATTTTGTTGCATGATTTTATTTTAGGGCAATGATCTTAGAAATATTCTTTAATCACTCTGGTCTCTGATCATGTGTGTTGTGCATTGGTTATTGTTTATATTTAAAGCCTTCTATTTATTGTGCAGCATTATGTATGTAAGGGTCTACCACGCATGCGTAGCAGAAGTATAACTGGGGGGGAAAAAATCTAAACCTTACTTTGGGGCAAAGTCTTCAAACATTTTAAGCGTTTATCAGATTTTATTAATGATTCTATCCATGCTGTTTTTATGTCCCGGTGACCAGTGAAAGTGCAGTTACGGCTCTCTCCACATTCATTTAGATAGGGGCCTGGTCTTGTTAGTCCATAATAACTGCCTGGAGGCATTGTCAGGATGGCTGCCAACTGGCGGGATTTGCTATCTATAAAGGACTTTGTTACTGCTCACCTCGCTTTTCCCTCAGACACTCCTACACCACTGTCTCTTTCTCTCTCCCTGTATGTTTGCTCTGTTGACTTTCTTCATCAGCAGTTTGTTTTATAAAGTCGCCCCAAAACACACAACTTGCCATTCGTGCTTGTAAAAAAATCCAACATGTCCGTGTCTTCTAACGTAACACCAGATAACATC